ACCTCTACAAAATCTTTTCATTGAGTAGCACAAGCCTGAAAATTGGCGTAGTTGCTAACTTAAACAGTCGTTCTGAAAATTATAATTCGGTGCGGAAGTTATTACTCAGTGCCTTTAACCATACAGAAAACTCTCCTGTAGAGTTATGAAAAAGATGTCGAGCGAAAATCATTAAGGAGCAGTAACCTTAGCCTTTTCAGGCATGGTATGAAGACTTGACTTGCCTTGTCCCTGTACGGCGTTTTCCCAGGCCTTCTCGGTCAATGCACTTTGGACACGTTTCCGAGGAGAACGTGCGTGAAACGCCTAAACAAAAACAGAATGCGCATGCCTGCGTTGCTTTTTGAAAATGTCGGCCTCACTTCTTCGCTCGAACCACGTAACCCGAAGCGTATTGGCCACGCGGAATGATAACGTTAGCCCAACTTTTTAAAGTTTCAATCCATGTCTATCGTTGCAATCCCTTGCAAAAGACGGCAAGAAATGGTTTCAGTGCCTAAATATTGTACAGTCGAAGCTTTCCCTGCGACTACTCTCGTAAGTGATCAGCTCTTGTTACGACCAGCTTTGTTAAACCCTGTTTGAACTGTTGAACTGAACCCTGTTTGAAGTGGTGTAACTTCAATTTTGTAATGAAAAGCTTCCGTTAGCGACCGCGACCACTTTTGGGATTACCCAACTAGACTTTTCTTTTGTTTTTAAGCTCTCGTAAGCGACCACTAAGAGTCTTATTCATTTAAATCAACACTTAAATGAAACTGCAAACTGCGCTAATAGTCCGTGGATAAAGATCTTGTACAGTGCAGTGTTGCATTTGTAAAAGTTCGAGGTCATTTCCGTAGCGACCACTTAGACGTTAAGTTTAGCCTTGTCTATATCAGATATAAAGACACTCGTTTTAAATAAAAACTTCTTTTGATTTTTCTTTATGAATTATTATTGAGCTTTTGAAGCTCTCGTAAGCGACTAGCTATTGTTACGACCACTTTTCCGAAGTTCCGAGTTGGTCACTTTGAGCGTCGACTGTTTTAAATAACAAAACTGGGTCATTGTTTTTGATGCGAGAAAAATTTTAACTTTTTAAAAAGAAATCAAATAACGTAACGCAGCCCCTTTAAGGTACGGAAAAACGGGCAACAAAAAACGCGCAACTTGTCTTGCAACATTGCTGCTAAACGAGTTGAATAGCGATGTTGCGAGTTTTACCACCCACGTTCAAACCTGTTAACAACCTGATTTGTTGCAAGACAGGTTTCATGTGGGTGGTAAAACGTGCATAATCGCTATTCAACTCCTTTTGCAGCAATGTTGCGAGACAAGTTGCCCGTTTTCCGTACCTCTAAATCTTTAAAGCAACTTATTTCTTTCAAATTGTTCCATTTTTTTACGAAAAGATTCCAGGGCTAAGCTGATGTATACAGCCATTTTTATTCAGCCTCGATTTCATGTTAAAGATAAAAGGAGCTGTTAGTAGGAGATTAAGGGAAGATGACAGCCACCTTTTAAGCCAAATATATAACGATATCACTGAAACTATGTGAAATATTATCTGATACCACATTTACATCGTAAAGATCGCCTCTGACCATTACATATGTACATTCTTTGTAAGTAAAAAAACTACGCCTACGAGTCAAATTTCGGAAGTTCAGTCTTGGCGCCCGGACTAAGGAGAAAAAGAGGTCGGCCCAAAACCACCTGGCGGAGGACAGGGATGAAAGAGCTGATGGAGATGGATCTAACACGGGGAGAAGCCAAAGAACAGGATAGGGTTGACTGGCGACATTTGATTGCGGAATGAAGAGGTTGAGCAAGTGAGATCGACAGAAAAAATAAGTTGTTTCATGCCAGTTTTCACTGTAAGAATTATTTTGGACAGTTTTCATCTTCTAACTTTGTCCTAATTAATTTTGAGAAATTGCCAACTTGAACCCCTGGGGGCTCCCCCGGGCTTGAACCTCGCGTTTGCCGACTTTGCAATAACCGTGATTATAACGTGTGGAGGAAAAGAAGTCTGAGAAATGAGAAATGTTCAGGATAATATGGCATAAACATCCTGCAGTATGTCTTGTTTTCGCTTGCCGTTTACGCCCGTTGAGAAGGACAACAAGGCGGGTGTAAATTGAACAATGTTGAAACAGCTGTAAGTAATTTTAGCTTTGTCTTCCCTTACACGGCGCGATTTGATTGATGTTTATAAACATTAAATACAGGAATCTCAAGATGTCACTTTGTAAACGACAAAGTGAATTTACACTTAAGATGAACACATCTTAGGACATTAGTCTAGACCCTTATCACCGCTTAGTTCTCAGCCAAACGCCGGCCATTCGTTGGGAAGGACAACAAGGCGGGTGTAAATTGAACAATGTTGAAACAGCTGTAAGTAATTTTAGCTTTGTCTTCCCTTACACGGCGCGATTTGATTGATGTTTATAAACATTAAATACAGGAATCTCAAGATGTTACTTTGTAAGCGACAAAGTGAATTTACACTTAAGATGAACACATCTTAGGACATTAGTCTAGACCCTTATTACCGCTTAGCTCTCAGCCAAACGCCGGCCATTCTGTTATTTATCTATATTAATTTTTTTCCTGCGTTTTTACTGAAATCCACGTAGTTTTTGTTAAACTAAATTACCCTTGCTGGTAGCGTGCACCGCAAGAGAATCAACAGTTTAGAATATTTGACAAGCTTTATTTGCATTTAGATTTGCCATTAACGATATAGTTAATCGTGAACGGCCGGATTCAAAGTGTCAGTCCTAGCACACTTGCTCACGTACAACTAAGGAAGAAGTACGAGCTCCCTCAAAAACGCCTGCGTGGGAGGCCAAACTAAGCCCTACCATTTGATTATGCGCGACCATTATGCAAGCAGCTGGGGAAAACCGATTCTGAGAACAAGCATGAAACAAGGTCAGAAATGGCAAAAAATACGCGCTTACAAGACGAAGTTAATGTACTAGACCCGTTCTAATGAATTTAAAATTAGGTAAGTACTTTGAAGTAAACTTTCGCGCGTCTGGGTTTTTCCCAGCTTTCTACGCCTGAAACTGAATTCATCAAACGCTGATCTTGAATTATTTTCCATTCCATCAAACAGACCTCAATCAACACAGATCCGCCCGTTTTCAATCTCATCCTTGATGATGCTTGTTACGTTATGGACAACTTTTATACCTAATTTCTCCAAAATTAACTTCCGCAGGTCTCTTTACAACCCTTTGATAAAGATAAGCGTTGTTTACCATTTGCAAAAAATCTCCGGACAATCCGGTTGGAAAGTAAATAGAACACGAATTTTCGGGTCGTTTCAGTGAAAAATTTCCGGGAGAAACGGATCGTCTGAAAAGGTAGTCGTGTTTTTCCGGTGCAGCGCTGTACCAATTAAGCTAACAAGCCAACTGGGAGCAGGTCGTTGAATTAGTTCGTTATAAACCCGTGAAAAGGATGATGATGAAGTTATGAATATATGAAAATCAGATATGAGAACTGCGGAGTGAAGAATTATGTGAAAGAAGATCATCGCAGTTTTAGACGCATGATTTTCATATATTCATATCATAACTTCAAGGTAAGTATGCCGTTCCAGAATATGCTTAACTCGTTTCAAATTGAACATGTCATTACACCCTTGATTAAATGTCCATTACATCTGTCCAAGGACAAAACGTACGTATACACCCCAACAGCTTGGAGAAACTTCCCTCTTGCCACCTTTAGTACTTTAATGTAGATTCGATCCTATCTGGCAATAACACAGTGCGTTGGAGAGGCTTATTATAAAAATTTAACGAGTGCCCCTTCGCCTTCTCCAAAGCATACGTGCCCTCCAATAACTAATTTTGGTAATGATTTTTCAGACCACTTTCAGATATCGTGTATAACCTGGAATTTTACAATGTTGTGGTTCCAAGCTAGGTTCTATGAATCGAACAAGTTTTCCGAAGGCTTTCATAAGGTACCAAGCAGACTGCTAAATTTCTGAAAGCTGTCTGAAGTTTATTTTATCGGGTTCGAGCACTGAAGATTTCATAAAAGTATCGACTTTCTTCGATTTTAGCGCACTTGAACCTCTTCTTCAGACGATATCAATTTTCATAATTTGCGACATCCACACAACAAGTGGAACGGAGCTCAGGAAATGAGTTTCCAACCAAGTCATAGGCTGTATTTTCTTCAGCGCACAGGAAAAAATGACCTTCAAAATGCTAAACAAACTTGAAACGGTCTTGATCAATGTCCTTAAAGCCTGTACGCCAAGCCACGTCTTCACCTCATTGGCTAATTCCGTACTACTATTCCAAGATACTTCCGATACATTAAGCCGTCCTCATCCTATCAACCAACCCCACAACTGCTATTTCAAAACACTTGAGCTTACACCGAACCTATCATTTCTTCTCCAAGGCACTTGAGCCACGAGAACTGTCTGCAGCTTGATTAGTTTAGCAGTCCATAACATCGAACGAGAGTAATGGTAACTTGTGAAGAAAGAGCAGGAATCCACTGATGTATAAACATCAACAAAACATGGCCAGTCACCAGAGGTGGACTCTGAACCCCGTTCAGCAAGAAGCTACTTTCTCTTTTACATGATCCTTTCTTTCCTTGGAAGCGAAATAGTGCCTGGCGGAATAGGGCTAATACCACTAACAGATTCTACAACCATTGATGGAACAAGTACAGTGGAATCCCACTCTACGAACTCCCACTTGATAAGGACACACGTATCTCACGGACAGTTTCGTTTGTCCCGACGGAAAGCTCATATATTTTCTCTTTTAAGAGAAAACGGGTAAGACGCACGCTATGGCATGCCCCCTCTGTGTCCGTATACTGTACTTACAGGACACTGAAGGTCATTAAGATGAAATAATATTCAAACACGTTTCTTTTTTAAAGTTTAGTAACAAATGATTTTAGTTAAACCCTTGTTTGATGACTAAAAAATAAATAGTTTTTAAATAATGCTGTTTCTTTGAATTTTTCAACACGTATTCACACATTATACAAAAAAGAGTAAAATGTTATCTCACTATAAACTCACCAACCTCGTTTTTAAGGTGCTTGGTTCAAATACACGACAGGACGCCTGGTAACGAGGTTACGCTATTTACATGTAATGATGTTAACCTTGTACCTCGATAAGAACTTACGGAAACTTTAACAGTTGCTTTAAGCCAGTATTGACATTACTGGAATGTCTGGGATAGACATTCAAAACATAATCGTATTGTCTGCTCTCAAGCCCAAAGGAAGTGTTTGTTGGGATACAGGTTAAATATTCTGCTAACTAGATCCTAACTCGAGAGAAACAAAGCATTTGTTGCCCATCCCACATTCCCCCTGTCAAAAGGTTGCCGGTTTGGTTGACATATACTACAATGTATTTCCATTCTAATGTTTGTGCGTACAAGTGAAACCGTCAAGTGACCTTGGCATCAAACCTCTACGGTAACAATTTATGTGGCACTATTCAGGTTTCTTGTGTTTTAGCCTGATTACCATTTGAGGTTTTTCTCTTTTGGTTACCGTAAAATTCCGAAAATAAGCCCCTCCACGTACAAGCCCCTCCAAATGTAAGCCCCCAAAACTCGTAACGCAAAAAACTCTCCGTTAAATCGCCCCTCCAAATATAAGCCCCCCAGGGGCTTGTAATTGGAAATTGCCCTCAAATACGAAGTAAAACAAAGCAAAAACAGTAAATTTACTTCCAACTATAAGGCTAGCCCAATCGATTTTGAAACGCAAATTTCCCTCCATAGATAAGCCCCTCCGAATATAAGCCCCTCCAAAAACAAGCCCTTAAAAAAGGGCCTTTGAAAAATATAAGCCCCGGAGCTTATTTTCGGAATTTCACAGTATTCTTCGAGAGCTGTTCTTGGTGACGAAAGTCAGGATAAAAATGAATTCTTAGGACCTTTTGTTCATTACTGCGTAGACTGATCTCTTCAACTCCTAGTGTCTTCTGGTCTGGATTATTATCGCTTTTTTGTAATCCTCAATAGCCGCTGTTTTCTTGCCTTGTCTACCAAGAACATCGGCCCGTCGCTTATAAACAAGAGCATCTCCAGGTTTCAAACTCAGTGCTAAAGAATAAAAAATATATATATCTTTAACGGGAATTTTCAGAAACGGGCCCCAAGACGTCAACAAGCAGACGTGTAGAAAAAGTTTAGGCCGGACTTGAAAAAATGAGAGTTTGTTACATTACAATGGTCCAAATCACAATAGAGTGTTTCCAGCATCTATGCAAATTTATTGGAACAAAAGAAAGCGTTTGCATAAGAAAAGAGTTCAACTCCCACAGGATTGGTTTGGGACACCAACATGGCCGCCGTTTCATTGTTTTGGGACACCAATATGGCCGCCTTACGTCATGTGAAAACACTCTATAGACCTTTGCCGCGTCCCACTCAAGGGAAGACTGGGCACTAACAATACAACAAGGCCGAGGCCCGGGGGGGGGGGGGGTACTTGGGTTAAGTTTTGCTAGGTATGTGCTGCTGGCCTCTCAGAGGCCCTACTTCAATACGGTCTATTCTGTGGCCAATTATAGACCCCATCATAGTCACTTTTGGTTAAATAATGTAATTTTCCCGATCCCAACATTCATGTATCTACCTTGTCAATTCTTTAAATAGGTCATCCTAAAATGAATTGACCCACTTTTGAATTGAATGAAGAACACTTAACTTTTCACCTACAGTGCAAACATTTTGGTACGTTTGCTAACCGTAAATATGAAGAACTGTCTTACCCAAAAAAATCAGAAAATTTTCGACCCATTCTAGTAACTCTACTGAAAATGCAACCCCAATATAGTCAATCCAGTCGTGAAAATGCGACCCCATCCAGCGGCACATCCTCATCAGCCTTTTATAAAGAAGTGCACTCCCGGGGGCCGAGGCTTGATTGACAATTTCAGTGACTCTTTTCAAATACCCACTTAACCACTTGCCTCTTTTCAAATACCCACTTAGCCTCCTACGTAGGCGTTATTTTCCTCCCTCCTGTGGTAAGGAAGGAAATACGACTCCCCTTAAAACGCCTGCTTGGGAGGCTACAATACACTCTTTCGGCCCTATAAACCCCCAGTTTTGCAAAAGCTACTGTTTTCAAATACCCACTCACCCACTTGACTCTTTTTAAATACCCACTTAGTCTCCTACGTAGGCGTTATTTTCCTCCTTCTTGTGGTAAGGAAGGAAATACGACTCCCCTTAAAACGCCTGCTTGGGAGGCTACAATACACTCTTTCGGCCCTATAAACCCCCAGTTTTGCAAAAGCTACTGTTTTCAAATACCCACTCACCCACTTGACTCTTTTCAAGTACCCACTTAGTCTCCTACGTAAGCGTTATTTTTCTCCCTCCTGTGGTAAGAAAGGAAATACGACTCCCCTTAAAACGCCTGCTTGGGAGGCTACAATACCCTCTTTCGGCCCTATAAACCCCCAGTTTTGCAAAGACTACTGTTTTCAAATGCGCTTGGGAATATACAGTTGGAGCATTTGACAATAATAGTTTATGAATTTTTTTTGGTCGGGGGAGGGGGAGGAGGGAGAGGGGCAAAATGCATTATGGGCAAGTGGAAATACAAATATTTATTACTGTGTATTTTGTTACCCCAAGCTTCGAGTTGGTGCCGTGTTCACAGGAATGCGAAGAAAGGTCTCGTATGACAAGAATAAAACTCTGGAGCACAGTCATGGTACTCGGTATTCATATTACCTCTGGTGTAATCTTCCTCGGACTCCTTGTATTTCCTAAGGGATGCGTACAGGTTGGCACGGTTAAAGTACACATGAGCTGCGTACGGATTCAACTCCACTGGTGAAAAAAATAAGAAAAGTAAAAGGTTAAAAAGTGAAGAACGTCAATTAAAACAACAACAACAACAACAACCTTTATAAGAATTACAACGAACTCCCTCAGTTTGCCCCCTGTCGTTCAAAAGACATTTGCTTTCACTCTTCTATAAAGCGGACATTCGTCCAAGGTAAACATTTGCTGCCGGTTCTAGCGCTATCCGTCTTACGGAGAGCTGGCTGTGTGTATTTGATGCGAATTTTAAAATAAACTATGTGTGAGCTGTCCATGCGAGCGTTTAAAGGAGAGTCATATTTTCTCCCTCCCCACATGTGATACTCCCTGTTATGGTGTCTACTTGAGCAGTTGAAACGCTTAACCGGGATATCAGTGAACTTTGCCTTGACCGGACGCTACGTCCAATTACGCCAATAGAGCAACTAGAGTGCCAGTCACTGGATCATTTCATTCCATTTATTAATTCTGTTATGCTTTGGTTTATTGACCAGAGGGCTTCATTTGGGACTAAAAATTGTGTCGAAGTTTGCTCATGGAAAGGAGACTCATAAGTGAGGTTGTTGGGTGGGTTGGGGGAAGGGGAAGGGGAAGGGGGGGATGGGTAGCTGATGAAGCATGGAGAACATAGAATAATATATGGATGAAAAATCTGATGTTTAAGATCAAACAGAACACTTACCAGCACGATGAAAATCTTGAATAGCCCCTTTGGTATCTTTCATCATAACCTGCACAGGACAGAAAAAGATAGGATCCTATCCTGTTGTTCTAGTGTGTCGAAGCTCTAAGAATAGACAATAGTTGTATGCCAGCAGCTAATAGTGCATTGCAAAGTTTTCTTTTGGGACATAACCTGGAATGGGGGTAAGGGGGGGTGGGGTATAGGCTGTGCCATATATGGGCCACATGTGCCGCAGTGAAGAGTAGGGGTTTTATTAACCCTTTAGGCCCTAAGATAGATTCACAAATTCTCCAGACTGATTTCCATTGATTTCCTTAAAGAGGAGGTTGAGAGAATTTGCATAAAGATCAAAGGATTTTCCTTAGCCTTTTCTACTCAAAATGTGTGGATATTGCAAGGAGAAACTTGATTTTGGTCACTCTTGGGACACAAAGGGTTAATTCAAGCAGTTTAATGTAGGATAGAGCATAAAAATCAGACGACTTTGAACTAGAATGGGCCATCCTTATGGGAAACTAATCCGTGGAATGAAGAACTGGAGTTTCTGGTTCACAGTTACTCTGTGACAGGATAAGGTGTATGGTGCGTGCCTAGTCTATATAGTAGCAAAAATTGTAGCTGAACATTGTCTGGTATAGGGCCAAGTATTTCAGAGTTCAAGCGACATAACCCCGCCAAAATTCTTAGACCCCCCTTCAGGGGGACATAATCTCCGAGGCAGACAGATCTTCGTCACGCACTGTCCCGTGACAAAAGAACGCGTGACAAAGCCAGCCCTCAGAATGTCTGCTTTGTGGTCTTTTGTGCACACTGAATACCACGATTAGATATACCTTGGTTATAGCGCGGTTAAGAACTGCTGATTCATCGTCTGCATACCACGATAATGCCTTGTTGTAGTAAGTAAGGGCCTTTACATAGATATCAAACAAACAGTGTTAACACAATGAAAGACTTCGGCAAAAATAGGTGAAGGGCTATTAGAGTTTACAAACAACTCTTGATTCCATATGCAACCACAATCTTTTAAGAATGAATACTCGAATGAGATAAACAATCAGTTGCCAAATTCTAGATGATACCGGCAAAGGTCGAGATACAATTCACTATGACTCTGAAGGTAACTACCGCACAGGTTGTAGAAACGTCAGTCATTGTTAAGAATTCAACTCCAGGAGAAATCGCCCTACATTTGACAAATTGAGCGGGTTCAAATAAACGCGATGAAGTTTGAAAGGACGCAAATTCATTTTTTTAGGGACGTTTTCACTACCGTCCTCGATCTGCATTGCTTTTTCTACATCTGCGTAAATTACTGGAGAGATGTAATTGGCAAGCAATGGCTACAATGGTAAATTCGACACTTTAGAAAAGAGAGGGGAACTGGGCCGAGGTAACTTTCGCAAAGACGTCTGGGACGGTTAATAGGGACAGGGAAAAACTGACCAATAGCTGACATGCGCGTCCCCGGTAACGACCTCAGAAACAACTGCGGGACTCATTTCGGCTCCAGTTGCCTTCTCGTTGCTAGAGTGGCGAATTACACTTGTAAAACGTTTATTGCATTGAACCCAGCAGGCTAAGAAAATAGTCCTTCATCAAATTTTTTGTCAAATTTCTCGTTCGTCTCTTCAGCCAATCTTACAAGTAATAAACGTTTTCGTCAAGAATGGTACTACAGTCACTCAAAAAACACTCCGTTCCGGAATAAACGTCACTTTTATAACTCAAAGAGAGGGTTACTTATAACCAAGAAACCAAACCACGTAACCTCCAAACTTATATCAATACTTTTTAATGATACTAAATCGGGAGGATGCTTCATAACCGCTTGGATATACGAAATTTCTTTTCTAGTGTCGAAAAATATTGTGCGAACGAGTGAAATATTTTTGAGAACGAGGAGAAATTTCGTATCGTCAAGGGGCCAGGTAATGTTTTATTTAATTAATAAACCACAACTAAATACCAAACTATTTCCCTTAAATATAACTTTTCGCTGCGAAAGGCGAGATTTATTATGTAGCCATAGCACGGATAGCACGGTGATCCTTTCATGCACGTGTGAAGATATCATGTTTTTGCCCGAAAGTTCATGGGTGGTTTTGTAATAAATTTGGCTACTCATCAAGTGATGAAATGTGACTGCGTGATGTGGTCTAGCTTGTTCCAGACATTCATATAGTAGGAGTGCGGGCGAAAAATTGACGAGGAGGGAAAAAACAGAATGGGGTCCAATTTCGCTTCGTTTATTCCTCTCGTTTTCCCCGCGAACGATTTGACTCGCTCCCCACCATCTGAACGCCGCGCACTACTATCTAAACGCCTGGAAAGGGCTAGATGTGGCCGTTAAGTCAGCCCATAAATAGGGAGCTTAAGCAGCAACGTTTTTGAGCGACGCACGTCAACCGGAAGTGAGGTATTTTCCCTCTTAACATGCCTTGATGATATAAAATTTGTATTCCTTAGCTTCTTTACTGTTATAGAGGCGATTTGACTGAAAATTTGCGCGAAAACACCATCAAAAAATGAAAAAAGGCCACTTCCGGTTGACGTGCGTCGCTCAAAAACGTTGTTGCTTAAGCTCCCTAATGACCTGCTTATCACTAGATGTCTCAGTAGTTTACTGGCTTAGAGCATCCGACTAATGTCTGGAAAGTCGTGGGTTCAATTCCCATCTGGAACTCAGAATTTTTTTCTTAGTTCTTCTCTTCACACCTTTCATTCCATTTATCATCAAGTGATTTCACCTCTTAGGATCACTTCCTTTCTTCTCGTCACCTTAATGTTTGAATAAGCTGTGACATTAGGTGGCTGTTTACATGAAGAGAGGAAGATCCTAGAAGGCGGATCATCCTAGCGCCATACGTTTTGTGTATTCAGTTTACATGCAAAGGGTTGTACTTATTCCTACAGCTGGGATCCTCCTAATAGTAGGATCTTCCTGGCTGAGAGGTAGGAAGATCCTAGCACCATGTAAACTACCTTCGCTAGGAAGATCCAAGTAATTGGGAAAAAACAGACAAAAATAGCGGCGTGTCGTTCAGTGGCTAATCACGGCAATAAAGGCCGACCATATCGTTTGGCGTTACCACGAGCTGATTATTGTGATAATTCTCCTGAAAGGAAGTTGTTAACGCCAGTAAAGAGAGCAGAAGAGCCCAAATTGTATGTTTGTTTTTGTCACCTGCCATTCTTAATTCCTTCTTAAACATTCTACATTTGGGTACCACACGGACCAAAATTTCTGCATGTAAACCCAACGTAAAGTTGATCCGCCTTCTAGGATCTTCCTGGTACTAGGATCTTCTTCCTCTATGTAAAGAGCCCCTAAGAGGAGAAAATGGATGTTGACCACTATGAAACTGACCTGCTGGAACTGTCTTTGCCTGAAGTAGATGTTAGCAGCATTGTAGTAAGCCAGTGCATATGACGGATCTGTCTTCACTGCCGCTTGATAGTCCCGGATGGCATTCACGAAATCACCCATGAACTGGACATACAAACAAAGAAACAGCAAGCGTGAGGAGTAGACCATGTGCAACATCCTGCACACACTGAACAAAAAACTTGCCTAGGAAAAAAGTTACACTGGCAACTGCTAAATTTCCCTTCACATCTGCCTTGTGTTTGCTTACTGCACTATTCCCCACTTCGGAAACTCGACGAAGAATGGGTACAAGCTTTGCGCGTAGTGATTTCTGGGATCGTTTGGGTGGACAAGCGTTATTTATGGTTGGTCGATAGCACAAAAGGCAACCATTAACCAATCACAAGAAACGCTCGTCAACCCGAACGATTCAAGAAATCGTTGCACCGAAAGGCTGTACCCATTACCCTTATGGTTTCTTGAATGGGCAATAGCACACTTTCCGTAATGTCAACTCTCGCCTTGCGAATCCCACCAAGGTCAAAGGATTTTTCCTATGCTTCGTGTCGTCCGTTACTTCCCTTTACTACGGCTAACGCACAGTGGGGTTAATGAGGTATTTGTTGCCCTTGATTTTTCACAATAGAGTTGATTTTCTGTTCCATCACAGGCTTCAGTAACGGACAGTCTTTCTTTTTTTTTTTTCCAATTGCCAATGGCCAAAGCAAGCTTTTTTCAATCAGCTATACCTGCGCCACAGAGCGCGAAGAGGCAAAGTGAGGAGAGTTGAAAACTGATTCTTATATTTTTTTTCAATGTGACACAACATCTTACCTGTTGCACAACTCCACGATTAGTCAACAACTCAGCAGTCTTTGAAATCTACAGAAACATGGAACACAACAAGCAAGTGAATCACTTCCACAACAACTCATTTAATAATAACTAATAACGCTCAAAAGGCAGTTAGAATTTTTTTCACCATTCAAGCGCAAAAGCATCTCAAGCGACTTGTTTGCATACTTTTGATCTGGCAAAAGTGAATTTTTTTGGAACAAAGCAAGTAAAATATAGAATAATTGATTATCTCCCATTCAAGTGAGATGAAATATACGCACACCTACCTTTATAGCCTCGTTCATATCAACAAAGGCACCAAAAGTGTTCCCCATCTGTAAGTTCACAACAGCTCGTCCCTCTAGAGCTGACTGACACGCTACAGAAGAGAAAGAAATTAGAAACTGAAACGTCGAAATTTAGTGGACGCTTTGGGTTTATTGGGCTTTGTGACTAGCTGACAATCCCATCACACCACTTCCTGGACCAATCAAAAGTAAACAACAAAAAATGACCGGTTAGTCTACGAGCTCTTCCTTTTCAACCGATCGAGTCGAGGCTTAGTAGGACTGGACAGAGTGAACGAGCCGAAAGGGTAACTGGAGAGAGGCGCCAACCTTCTCCTCCGTTTACTTCGTTCACTCGCACGTGACATGCTCGCCCGCGGGACAACATCAAGTGTTGAACTGGTAGGTAAGATAAGGTAAAGTCTGCTTATAAGGCAAGTGGCCCTATCTGGACGTTCCGTGGCATGAAGAGTCTAGGAATAATACTACTCCCCCCTTGCACGAGATGTTCGGCCATCGCAAGGTTACCCCCGGCAGTAAATTCGCCGGCATTCATTTATAAACCTGGGTGGTGTGAGGCACTGTGAAATTAAAGAATACAAAACAGTAACCCCAGCAAGGACTGAACCCGGTCACTGCCGGTCCTAACTTGCAACTGATAAAGGCTCCACTTAAGACAAATTACATTTCATCTGTGATTGTCCATAATGTTTTTTGGCAATTGGACTAAGTCGAGTCTAATATACGAGCGTTAAAACAAGACTAGATGCAAATTAAATTCATTGTTAGCCTAAGTAAAGGCAGAAGTAGGCGACACAAATACATCACATTATCACAACTATGACAACATTTGAGGAATATATCGCGACTACAACAGTAGGGTAGCCGTATGGCGGGTTTCCACTGCACCTTTAACGTTATGTAAAAGAACGTTAGATAAAAAGACCCCATTCAAGTCGAAGTACAACTGTCCTTTTTAAAATTGGACGTTGCGCTGGAGAGTGGGGCGACACTGCATGCGATGACGTATATATACTGCCCAATAGACGTCTTCCGAGTTGCCCCGTGACTACGTTTCCAAGCCAGGCTAAGTGCAATGTTATTTGTAGGAAAATGATTTTTTATTCCCATGCTCTGTAGTGTATACGATGCTAATGCAAGCGCGTAGAAGCGAGAGAATGAATGTGATGTAATACACACGGGAATTACGTAATTTGGATGTACTATAGATAGCGTGCGTTGTAATTTATTCGAGTCGGTCAGCGTTCTGAGTTCGGAGTGTAACGGTCGTGAATAAAGTGTGTTTTAACCTAACCGCGGTACTACATTGGCGACGAGGATACTTCGAGGATGCTTCGAGGATATTTCGAGGATATTTCGAGGATTTCGCCGAGGGTTTCAAGAGTTTCGTTGAAAATTTCGCTGTGGATTTCGTCGAGGATTTCGTCAAGGATTTATTTCAGCGATGCCGGGAGGCGGTGGATTGGGCGAAACTAACGCGACAAGCGGTACTACGAGCGGTGCTGTTGGCGGTTCTGGGATGACTTCTGTTACTTTAGATGTCAGTGGATTGGAACCATTTAATCCAAAAGGAGAGGCGCACAATTTAAGTCAGCGATGGAAGAAGTGGAAGCGAGCGTTCAGTTTGTATGTGACCGGGAAAGGTGTATCGAACGACGCTCAAAAACGTGCTTTGCTGTTGCATGTCGCTGGTATGGATGTGCAAGAAATTTATTTCACACTAGCTGGTGAGGGTGGAGATGCAAGTTTTGAAGCAACGTTAAAGGTGTTGGACGACCATTTCGTGCCAAAGGCGAACATTCCCTTTGAGAGACATTTGTTTCGACAAATTTCGCAAGGGATCGGAGAGACAGTTGATCAGTTCGTTTGTAGATTGCGTCAGCGAGCAGCGACTTGTGATTTTGGCGCCGGCGAGGATGGCTACACTCGCGATCAGCTCATAGACAAGTGTTATTCGAGCCATTTACGCCGGAAATTTCTGGAAAAGGAAGGAACTGTTACGTTAGATGAATTGTTGCGTGTTGCAAGATCCCAAGAAGCGGTTGATCGACAACTGAAGCAATACAGTACCGACCAAGCAGATAACCAGGTCAATGCAGTGGGTGGCAGGCTGTATGGAAACAAAAATCCCAGGAAAGCAAAGACGTGCTTTAGCTGCGGACAAGAAGGACACTTCAGTCAAGACAAAAAGTGCCCGGCGCGTGGTCAAACTTGCAGGAAGTGCGGCGAAACAGGCCATTTCAAAGTTAAATGCCCTCGACTCCATCAGCTAAGCAGGACCCATTCGGGATCTAGAGGGCCTGAGAGTAGCAGAGGCGGACGCGGCAGAGGAGGCAGGAGTGCTGGTGGACTGGGTCGAGGTGGACGCGGACGCGGAGGGCGAGAGACGAACCTCGTGACTGGAAGACCTAGCCCTGGAGAAGAAGACAAAGGAGACTTCGCTACACCAGGTCGTTCGCAAAGACCCGATTATGCCTTTTCAGTGGAACAGGTGAATGATCGCAAGGAACAAAGGAGCGCTTTGGTAACGCTGGTCATTGGTGGTGTAGACGTACCCGATGTTCTCATTGATTCGGGAGCCTCATGTAATGTTATGGGCCAGCAGACCTGGGAGTTGTTAAAGCAAAAGGGGATTAACTGTGAATCTCGCAAATCTGCAAAGGAACTTTTTGCTTATGGTGGTACAGAACCTTTACCGACCCTAGGAACGTTCACGGCAGATGTCACGCTGGCTGGGTTTGAAAACGGAAGTAATGCTGATTTTGTAGTGGTTGAAGGCGACGGTCGCACGCTGTTGGGCCGAGAGACTGCCGAGGCGCTAAACCTGTTGCGTATTGGTCCTTTTCAGACAAACAGTGTTGACGGTGGGCGATCGGACGGGGATGTCAGAGAGAAATACAAGCACTTGTTTAGTGGTGTTGGTCTTTTGAAGGGCTACGAGCTTAAGCTACACATTGATGAGTCGGTGAAGCCTGTAGCGCAGCATGTACGCAGGATACCGTTCGGGTTACGCGAGAAAGTGGATGCAAAGCTGGATGAACTTTTGGAGCTTGAAATTATAGAGGAAGTGCCGGAGGGGCCGTCAGGATGGATTTCGCCGTTGGTGGTGGTTCCCAAAGGCGATGGCGACGTAAGAGTCTGTGTTGATATGCGTCGTGCAAATGAAGCAATCGTCCGAGAGCGTCACCCAATTCCAACCGTTGAGGAGCTGTTACACGACTTGAATGGCAGTACGGTGTTCAGCAAGATAGATCTCAAGTGGGGTTTTCACCAGATTTTACTCAGTGAGGAAAGTCGCCACATCACTACCTTTGTCACGCATCGAGGGCGTTATCGTTACAAGCGGTTGATGTTTGGCGTAACGTCGGCGCCGGAGAAATATCAGCAGATCATTAGAGATGTGTTAAGGGGTTGTGCTGGGGTTGCGAACATTGCGGACGATCTCATTGTTCATGGGTGTGACGTGGAGGAACATGACAAGCGTCTTTTTGCGGTGTTAGATAGGCTGAGTGAAGTGGGGTTGACGGTGAACGGAGACAAGTGCGAGTTTAGATTGTCAAGGCTTACGTTCTTTGGTCACGAGCTGACTAGTGACGGCATAAACCCATCCGAAGAGAAGATTGCTGCTATAAGAGATGCTAGATCTCCCAAAGACGCAAGTGAAGTGCGATCGTTTATGGGTCTTGTCCAATATTCCGCTAAGTTCATGCCTGACGTGGCGTCCGTAGCCAAGCCTATTCAAGAGTTAACCAGGAAGGGCATCGTGTTTCACTGGGGTAAAGAGCAGCAAACAGCCTTTGAGGAACTGAAGCGTCTAATCACCCAGGCAGAGACACTGGCTTATTTTAAGGTTGGCTGCAGAACGCGAATCATTGCCGATGCGTCTCCAGTTGGATTAGGAGCGGTTCTCACCCAGCAGCAGGGGGAATGTGGAGAGTTGTCTCCTACGCGTCGAGGAGCCTAACTGACGTGGAACGACGCTACAGCCAAACAGAGAAAGAGGCACTTGCCTTGGTTTGGGCGTGTGAACGGTTCAACATGTACGTTTCCGGACAGAGCTTCGAGTTGGAAACAGATCACAAGCCTTTAGAGCGTGTCTACTCGCGCACTTCAAAGCCTTGCGCCCGAATAGAGAGATGGGTCTTAAGACTACAAGGGTACGATTTTAAAGTGGTGTACCGCCCAGGGAAGACAAATATAGCCGACGCGTTGTCCCGTTTGAACTCCTTGGATCAAGTGGACCATGGAGAAGACTACGACTTTGTCAGAGCCATTGCTATAAGCTGTATACCCGTTGCTCTATCACCTACAGAAATTGAAGAAGCTTCCTATTTTGACGAAGAATTGACGATAGCAAAGAGTTGCGTGAGGTCAGGGGACTGGGACCGGTGTACACTTCCCTCGTATGCACAAGTCAAGGACGAATTATGCGTCTATGGTGAGCTATTGCTTCGCGGCACAAGGATTGTGGTTCCCAAGCTCCTGCGCAACAGGGTGGTGCGGCTGGCACACGAAGGGCACCAGGGTATAGTGAAGACGAAGTATCGGCTCCGTAGTAAAGTTTGGTGGCCGGGAATGGACAAGGAAGTTGAGAAATTTTGTAAAGTTTGTCATGGCTGCCAGGTCACTTCTGGATTTAACCCTCCTGAGCCGATGTCCCGCGTTCTTCCTCCAAGTGCTCCTTGGCAGGATTGTGGAGCAGACCTGCTGGGACCACTACCCACAGGAGAGAGTGTTTTGGTGGTGATCGATTACTACAGTCGTTTCTTAGAAGTTGCTATTCTGAAGTCTACAACAAGTGCCAAGGTCATCGAAGCAATTGCACCCATGTTTGCCAGATTCGGTTTTCCGTTCTCTTTAAGGACAGATAATGGGCCCCAGTTCGTATCCGAAGAATTTGAAGCATATTTACGCACAAATGGTATTGAGCACAGGAAAACGACGCCGTTGTGGCCTCAAGCTAATGGAGAGGTGGAACGCCAAAATCGCTCGTTACTTAAATGTCTACGGATTGCACATTTAGAAGGAAAGAACTGGAGAACTGAATTGCTTGTATGGTTGATGGCGTACAGATCCACTCCGCAAACGACGACGGGGACTACCCCCTGTTACATGATGTTTGGCCACGAGGTTAGGTCCAAATTGCCAGAGTTAAGGAGAGAGACGGTCGGGGTGCCAGGCGAAGAAGTGCGAGAGCGGGATTGGTCAAGTAAATTAAAGGGCAAAGCTTATGCAGATCTCAAGAGAGGTGCCACGCCCAAGAGCATACGTGTTGGTGACACGGTACTTTTGAAAGCCGAAAAAACGAACAAGCTGTCTACCAACTTCAACCCTGCTCCTTTTAAGGTGGTTCAGAGGACAGGAACAGAGGTAACGCTTAGGAACGAAGCTGGTGTGCAACTGAAAAGGAACACTGCGTTCGTAAAGAAGTACAACGAGCACAATGGTGTATCCAATGGTAACAAAGACCAAGTGGTACAAGCAAGTTCTACAGTACAGACGGATGAGCCAGGGCCAAGCAGAGTTCCGGAGACGACAGAGGTATCAGGGCCAAGCGGAATTCCAGGGACTACAGGAGTATCTGAAAATTCCCAAGTACAAGCTGGGCACTCTACCGAAAAGAAAGATAACGCAGCGGAAAGGCCTGTGCGGAGGTCGACCCGAACTATAAGACAGCCTGCGCGCTATAAAGACTTTGTCCTGGATGTTTAGGACTTCTTCTTTTTTTTCTGTTTTGTCTAGTTTAATTCAAAGACTTTGTTTTGCTGAACATTTAGGGTTTTTGCAGCCTTTAAAAACTGCTTTCCTGCTAAATTTGATCAAAGAAGGGAATGTAGTGTATACGATGCTAATGCAAGCGCGTAGAAGCGAGAGAATGAATGTGATGTAATACACACGGGAATTACGTAATTTGCATGTACTATAGATAGCGTGCGTTGTAATTTATTCGAGTCGGTCAGCGTTCTGAGTTCGGAGTGTAACGGTCGCGAATAAAGTGTGTTTTAACCTAACCGCGGTACTACAAAAGGAAGGTTTATTGCACTTGGTCTCGTTTCGAAAGAGATAGTCTTTGGAACTCGGAAATAGCCTGTTACACTGTGGTCTTGTTGCAGAACAAGCTAATAGCTCATTAGATTCGATAATTTTGTCACAGTTGCGATTACAATCAGACATTTGGATCATAATGAGTGGTCGCTTAGAACAAGTTCACCTGAGCCTCTTTTAAACTGACCTGAATCAATGGTAACAGCTGAGGAAAACTGGTTCCAGGCTGCCTGGAATTTTCCTTCAACCTGCAAATAACCAGTGAAGGAGTAAATTAGACCAACTATCTCATAGGGCAGGGCAGTTTTTAATTGCTTGTCAAATAACCAAAAGCAAATGTAAATTGTTTAGCTAATCATAAAACGCAGACAATAAAACTGGCCAATCGGAATTCAGAGCAAACGTGCTTCGTTAACGCCAAGCGAGTCGAGCTTGGGCCTCACCCCGCCCTGGTTGTAGTCTGCGAGCAGGCTCTCTTTTGCGACTCGCGTTGGCGGCTCCGCCGACAAAATGTTTTTCCTCAACTCGCCCAAGTGAGCCTGCTTGCAAGTTACACTGGCTGAGAAGTGGTGTGAGAGTTTTTTTTTTGTAATAATTAAAAAAAACAGAAGTCTCAACTTACTTGAGAGCCCCATAACTAAAACGCGCTTGGTCTGAAAGTGAGTTGGTCAGAAAGTTAGTGGTTGAAAACAAACAGATTACCTGTAGATTGTAGCCGAGGTTTACCCGCGCAGATAAACAGAGAGGATCCATGTGAAGAGCCTTGAGATAATCACGCCTACAAGATCAGCAGAACAGATTTTAGGAACGAAAAGACGACATCGTGAGACAGTGGAAAGCATATATTTGATTACTGGGTAAACTTGACATTTAGGTCACAACCGACTGGGTGAAGTTATTCTACTAGGCAACCGTTTTTGGGATGTCACGTAATGCTCCCCTCAAAGGAATGGCTACATGAAAAAGTTCCTTTTTACGGGAGGTGAACATAAATCTGCAAAGCTGATCGTAGTACGTAAACATTAACCTTAGAAGACATGAACACAACACCGATAGAACACAAAACAGAACGGGGTTGTAGAAGTTGCCAGCTGTTAATTTTTACGTAATACGATCAGTTTTGCAGAGATTTATTTTCACTTATGTAATTCTGCTACTCAAATCTCCTGTAGATCTTACGCCCTGCGGTACGTTCGTTTGCGGTCCTTTGTGGTTAATGTTCACTTTGGGAGGAGTGTTGCGTGACATCCCAAAAATGGGCACGAAGGAGACTAGAGGGAGGTCTAACCTTCCTAGAACGGTGCCATCTTCATGTCCAAAGTCCATCAAAGCATTGCCACGCCCATTGTAAGCCTCAACAAAGAAAGGATCAATGCGAAGAGCATCGTTATACGATGAGACAGCTTCCTCTAAACGGTTCAACCTAAAATGAGTAAGGAAAGGAATCAAAGACGATGTAGAGTAAGGCCCCGGCGCGTTCTTAAGGAACTTTTCAAATTTCAATCGAGTTAAAGGCGCAGTGTTAACTGGTATGTATCAAACACGGTTGGGTTCGTTGTTGCGCTTGTTTTTTGCTAACTAGATCTCACCACATCGCCGGCCTCGCAGTGTTTCCGGAACGACCAATTGCTGTGGCGATTACAGCAGCAGAGCAGAATAGCTTACCCAATTTTATCACTTTAAGTGGCGCGGCATTTTTTCTGTCTGCCATAGAACATAGCATTTGCAAAATCGTTTTCTACATTCAATTGAAATATACAGCTGATTCGATAAAGGTTGCTTTAGGCATTAGAAATTGCGTACCGCAAAGCTATTGTTTGGTGGTCACTCAAGCAAATTGTTGAAGTGAGTTCCATATGCCCAAACGCTCAATGGCCAAAGCGAGCTTCATTGAATCGGCTAGGTCAAATAACGGGAGAGTTACCTGTGATAACAGAGACCCAAGGTGTGACGAATGTGAGGATCATTCGGTGAGACCTTGAAGGCGAGGAAGGAACTATTAATATTGAAGCTCCGCCTTAGATGGATTTCCACTGTCGGGTAATTTTTCTGGGCATACACGCGTAAATAAAATGGAGACATTGTATGGAAGGTCACGAGTATGCGTTAAAGTTTAACCTCGCTCAACTTTTGCGTTTACGCGTGGCCTTTGATACACTGCCTCTTTTTCATCTACGCACTTAAATTTTACGTGTGTTCGCACGGAAAAATTACGCGACAGTAGAAATCAACCCTTAGACTTGGGCTGGTGTTAAGCAAATTGAACTGCAGGACTGTTTTAAGGGGACTTATTTTGACCCAGCTACTTGTGCAACCTCTATTAGCCAAGGAAATAAGCGATAACAACACCAAAACAGTCCCAGAAAGCAATTCGACACAACAGAGAACCCGCCTCACGCCCGAGCACAAAATGGCCGATAGAGCTTTGGTTGAAGGTTTGTACGCAGTGGAAAATTTGCGATTTTTCTCACGCGCGAAAACATCGCAGTAAAAACTGCAAGCTTGGCACTTTTTCGCGCGTTCATTGTAAAATTTGCGTGTTTTTTGTAAGGTTCACAAATTTTCGAGTAAATTGCGATTTACCGCTGTTCTCTCCTCGTTTACAAGGTCGCAATTTTTTGCTATACTTGTGATTTGATTTCCGCAGCTCTTTGTCATAAGCCAGTAACAGAATTTACCAACTTTGCGCAAATTGCGAAAAACCTGCTGATTTTCACTGGTTCAGCAAATTTTTGCGAATTTTCTAATTTTCCGTAAATTTTGCAATTTACGCAAAAATCGCAGTTTAAGTTGGGACGATCCTCCCAACCTTCTCTTTCACTGCTTTTCACCGTCAATTCGTAATTTTCGCAGCTGCATGCAATCCTGGACACAAAGCTTAGGGTTGGTGACCTCTTCTCCCCTACAATAGCTCCTATCTCAAGGGCACATTATAGACGGATTTCTGCTAACAAAAATGCCTCTTAGCAAAGCTGTTAATAAAAGCACCCCAGAGGCTTCAAACAATGACGACAGCAACAAGAGCTTGTCTCACCCCCTCAAACCACCAAAAATTGTCAAAACATGAGCAATATGTACAGTACACCAACTTCAGCAACAACACTAATCACACCAAATACAGTAACTACAGCAACTTTACCAAACTACATTAACTACACGTCAACTACACTAACTACACAAAACTAACCCAACCATACCAGTCCAATTCAACTACACACTGACCAATGCGGAGTTATATAGTTTTTAACTGGACATGAATTGTTTCATATTCATGAAGGTTGTTCTGAATCTTTTACCAGATACAACAGCACGTGATTTGACTCAAAGCATGGTAGAAAGAGACACGACAAACTGAGGTGGGAAAAACACCACCAGTTATCACTCTCGTGAATAAAAACATTTTCCTCCCCTCCAAGGAAAACAAAACTAACTCATGGTTTCCCTCGTGACCCAGACATTAACTATACAGTGAGTGGTTAATTTCTTTGGTCTTGCCTATCTGGGGTCGATGGAGGGGGAGATATATTTTACACATCTTATGCTAACTTATATTTCAGAATGGAAGATAATTCTGGCTGTAGTGACAAAGATATATAGCTTACTACAAAAGAAATTGAACCTGCACCTTCGAAGCAGCTAGGAAGTCTTGCAGGGCATTTTCGATGTCATCTATTTCGTAATAGAGTAATCCACGATTCTGAAGGACCTGGATAGCAAAGAGAAAGGGATACGTCAACAGAATAGAGAATGTCGCAAATAATTTCGAAAAATCATATACACTCACCTTGATGTTAGGGCTATCCTCAAGTAACATTACAGTACCATAGTCCATCAATGCCTAGTTTTCAAAACAGAGAAAAAGGAATCATTTACTCTATGTTGACTCTTGCATTGGTTCCTTGGTGCTAGAGTACAAGGTCCCGCTCCAAGGAGTTGAATGCAAGAGGTTGAAGTTTAATGCAGACAATATACTCAGACTGTGCACAACTTTATACATTATATTGCTATCAGTGGGTTTCACAAACCTTTTGAAAGAACTTCATTTCATGGTAGCATACAGCGCGGTTGAAGTACGCCAGGGAGCACTTGCAATCTATAGCGACAGCTTCAGTGAGATCTTTGACTGCAAGACTAAACGCTTTGATATTGTACTTCAGTGCGCCTCTACAAGTTGGGAAAAAAACAATAATAAGTACCATGTTTAAGCAAGATCGTCAATGCGAGGTCACATGGGAAATGAAGGCGAGGTAGTTTAATAAGTAAGTAACTTAATTTAATCAGGGTAGCCCGTTCAGCAACGAGGCTGGTATCCATAGTGGCACCGAAAAGAAACGGGTTTTTTTTAGTATCAGGTCTTCCTTAGGGGTTAGGGGAGAGGAGATTGGCTAATGGCGAGGAAGCGGACTAGTACAAAGTAAGTCAAATAATTGATAACAGGAAAAGAGACAACGGCAAGGCAGCATGAACAATGGCAGAGCACAAAATTGGGAACCGGCAGTAAGGTTCAGTCCTTTCTGCACTCTTTGTCGTCATCAACTGACGTTCCCGCTCTGACGGTAAATCACTCACATGTAATTGTTTTAAAATTTGCAAAAACATAAAATGTCAGCGCCCTCCACGAAAAATACCTAGAAAAGGGTAAAAACTTGCAAAACACTCAATCGCGTATGTATAAACATTTGCTAAAATGCTTTTGATCTTAGCAAGTGAGAGTGTACTTATACAGCACCTTTCACACCTGTCGTATAAGATAGGATAGGGGGTATGGAATACAACAGAAGAGAACAGGATAAAAGAACCAAACCTGTAGAGGTATGCTCTGACACTGCGTGGCTGTAACTTGATAGCTTCATTACAGCTCATTATACCTTTGCTGTATCGACCTTTCATACCATAGTAAGCTGCTCGACTCAAAAATGCCTGTCCGAAAATACCAAAAGCCAAGATAAGTCTCAAGTTATATTTCCACCCACTAAAGAGACTTAGAAGAATAACCAATAAGTTTGTGTAAAGATTAAGGTTTAATAGCTATTATTAAAAACTGAATCCTTGGATAATGCAATTCTAGAGCTCTGATTGGCTTAACCATCACTGTATACGAGTTATTATACCTTGCTCTCCAAATATGGTAACTGTGCGCATCAGCGCAAAATTAAAAACAATCTGAAAATCCGTTGTTTTTACAAATAAAGTCGGGAAGAATTCTCGATAATTTGTAGGCGTTTTTAATAAAACAATTATTCCACTCGCGCTTGTTGGCTATCTACCATCTCATATCCAACGCGCACTCGTGGAATAATTGTTAAATAACCCGTAATAAATGCCCCACTTTTGACTCAGCTTGTTCCAATAGTATCGACTGTTGTCCAGCAATTCGACACTTAAGAAACTAGAAGAAAGCTGGGGGCGAAATGCGTCCCGCAATTGTTTCTGGGATCGTTACTGGGGACGCGCCGGTCAGCTATCAGGGAGTTAAAGGCTGCGTGAAAACGGACGCAACAACTCCTAACATTGCTGGGCCAACAATGTTGGGAGTTGTTGCGTGCGTGTTGGCAGTGGTGTGCAAACGGATGCAACAACTAGAAACGATGTTGGGACCTGCAGTGCATCGAGGGAAGGATACAACCCATGAGTCTTTGTAAACCATGCGTAATGAGCGTGCGCGGCCCAAACAATGTTGGAAGGGGTGTGAAAAGGGATCCAACATTGTTGCGCTACGCTTCGGCGATCACGGAACAAAAGAAATGTTGGGAGTTGTTGGCTGAAAAGTTTGACCGGTTTCAAACTTTGCGCAACAACAGCAACAACATCCAACAACATACAACAGGGTGTGCAAACGGACGCAACGTGTAACATCCAACAATGTTGGGAGTTATTGGTAAACATTGTTGTGTTCGTTTGCACGGGGCTTAAGCAGCGACGTTTTTGAGCTACGCACGTCAACCGGAAGTGGACTTTTTGCACTCTTGAGCCAAAATTTTGAACAAATTTTTGGGCAGTTCGTCTCTATAAGAATTAAGACACTTGGCAATACAAATATGGTAGCGTCAAGGCTTATAAAAAAAGAAAAGGCTCACTTCCGGTTGACGTGCGTCGCTCAAAAACGACGCTGCTTATGGACTAATTTTTTCCCTGTCCCTAATAACAGTCCCAGAGTTCTTTGCAAAAGTTACCTGGGCCCGGTTTCCTTCTCGTGAATAATGGACAAGATGACGTTCCTAAAGGTGATGTTACACGAGACGATTCGCAACGACGATTTTTAGCGCAACACAGCGTTGCAACATTGTTGCAACATTGTTTCGAATAGTTACAACATTGTTCCAACATTGCAGCGCTGTTGTACTAAAAATCGTCGATGCGAATCGCTCCGTGTAACAGCAACTTAAAGTACAGACCCAGCAGCTAGAACAATCATGTCGCTATACTATAATAAGAGACTGTAAAGTGAGCTGCCTGAAAGAAGAAACAGTTCAGTTCTCGCTGAAAAACACTGTAGACGTCATCAGTCATTTACCCTCGCTACCGTATTGCTAAAAACGTTTTAGCCCAAATTGGCCAGCAGGTATTACGAAGACGGATCGGCTCACACAAAGTTACTGATTACTCAACACTGTTGATCAGTTCTCAAATTGACATGAACGTACTTGAACTGTTTTTAATTTGTAAACACGAATTTCTTACCAAGACCATGTCAAACTAATGTTATAGAAGAAAACATGAGCCTAAAGGAAGCTTGTGAACCACTCATATCGTTGTGCGTAACAAATCAAACTGAAATTTGAAAGGGTACGTTTTTGAGGAGTGCAAGGGGGAAAACAGGAGCAACGAAAGAAAAACCGCTCAAAGCAGGAAAGAGAACGAATCAATCCAAGTCAATGGCGTCGCAACTGGGACTCTAGCCCAGGGTCACATTGGCAGAAGGGTCTCAGAACTATAACAGAGTTTGAAATGAAGATGGAGATAAGAAGAAGAAGGGTCAGTCACAAGACCTCTAAAATGCTGCCGAGACAGGAAAAGAAAAGAGGGAAGTCAAATAGTATGCCTCCATTCATTTCCTCTCGCTGCTGAAATAAGCAATACTACAACGATCGGCGTTATCTAAGTTTAGCACTCTTGAACTGGATCTTGGATCTGTCCCTTTGTTCGACTGCTTCCCCCAGATCACCTAGCCGAGTGGAGACATTAGAAACTCGTTGCCATAAACTCACCTGAAATAATGTTGAATTAATAGCCAAGGCTCGATTAAAATCGTGGATTCCCTTGGCATGCTTCATTTTCATTTTGGCGAGTCCACGTTGATAAAAAGCCTGAAAAAGTGAGTTATTAGTAACAGGCTCACGACATGAATCTTACTAACTAGAATGGAAGCTTAGTTTACACTTCGTTCTCCGCTCTTCATTCCCTGGCCCCTCCTTGAGGAAGGAAAGGAAGGGAATATCATGGAATTCTACAAAAGAGTAGAAAGAATTAACAAACTTCAAACAAACCTCCTTGGAACTGACACAAACAGCTCAGTTGTGCTTAACAACGAGTTGTCAAAGGACGTCTACAAAACATATACAACCGTCATCCTTAAGACGGAGAGAAACTGGTAAGATCATAACAGCGGTGACAAGTTTTTCTGTTAGAAAAAGGGCGTGGGTGATGGCTAGGGGTGGGGAACGGGCAGGCTCGCAAAGCTCATCCATGCCTTCTCAAGGCTTTCTTGTACTTCTTTTGACTTGTACATCTACGGTTTTAAGATGTTGCTGTTGTTTTTTTAAATTTTTTCATTCAGTCATTCTTACGACTAGCTGGTAAGTGCTGAAGTTACCCAAATTGGGTTACCTGGGTAGTTTAAAAGCCTTTGCTTTGCTTTGACTAAAAATGCGTAAGCTGATCTCCTTTAAACAAATAGTTTTATTTGCTTACCTCAGCATAATCTGGATTCACGCGTATGGCATTGTTAAATGCTTCTAGTGCACCAAGCGGTCTCCCAAGCTCTGAATGACACATGCCAATCAGGAAATGAACAGATGCAGCCTCCATTGGCATTTCCATTCTAGGGTTCCATGGCGTCTGCCAGTTAAATTCAAAAGAAAACGTAAACATAGTTGGTTAGTGATGTTAGCACATATTAAAAGAATGGTCAACATTTGAGCAGTGTTTTCGAACAATGCGCCAAACAATGATAATGGACGCAACAATATAATGTGGAAATGATCCTCGCAACAATGTTAACAGGTCTCGTATGATAGTTTCTTGTTTCGTATTTCTAATTCATAACAAATAAGGGGAACGAAGCATGTCCCACGTTTATTACGAAAAAACATTTAAATGCAAACAAACAAACCATGATTTCGATGGCTCGATCAAAGCTCTTGATGGCGTCCTCAAACCTCTTGGCCTTCATGTTGGTTTTACCCAGGAGAATGAACAAAGGAGCTACGGGTCTCACACGAGTGGCGCGCTCAAGAACTTCAATGGCCTGAAAATCAAGCAAATTATAATTAACAAAATTCGTAGGAAATGAAAAATGACTCACAAGACTACAACAGGTTACGTTCAAAGGCCTTGACGACTACAACGACAAAATTTAACTTGAAGTTTTTTCGCATACGGAAAACTTAATAGTACTTTTTTTCACCAGCAAAGTCAGCACCGTTATTTTTTTATTGAAGGAGGTTCAGCCCTCTCCCGATCGCAAAATGAGAAAACCTCTAACATTTGATAACTTTTTCCGTCACTAGAAAGTTTTCGCTAAAACCCATAATAGCTGACGACAGATACCGCACTTTCCCGCCCAAAAGAAGCAGGCTCACCCTCGCTCACTACTTAGTTTTTCGAAAATCCCGGCCTCGTGGTGGTCCCCGCCCTAGAATCTAAAGTTCTCTACTAAAACATCCTCATCTGCATCCTATTCAGCAGATGCCTTATTGTCCATTTTGAGGTTGTGCAGAGACTAGGGCGGTGTTGTATCGAATTGCACCATGGGACTCTCTTGGGGACAAATTTTGACCCAGGTCCCTGCCAAACCTCATAAAAGCGGAGAGAGACTTGAATCGTTTTAGGTAATTTATGTCGTTGAAAATTGTAATAGCTCTTATGTTAAAAGAGTAAAGACAATATTTGGAAATTGTCCCCGAAGAGTGAAAATTAAAAAAGCCGGTCTACAGTCGTTTCTTTTTTATTCGATAATATTTCTTGCTTCATCATAATAGTCAAATATTAAAATTTCTATATTTTACAGTCCGCAAAATTTGACAATTTAAACATACCGAGGTTTCTGTCATGTGTATTAAGTATGATAGTAAATTTGGCTTCATAACAAGAGCTGAAAATGCAAAAATATCAAGGTTTCTGTCGTGTGTATAATGTATAGTACGAAACTTGGCTTCATCACAAGCGTCAAATAGCAACAGTCTGCAAAAATTGGAAATTAAAAAATGCCAAAGTTTCTGTTATAGTTAAATTGGCTCCACGATAAGCGTCACGTATTAAAATTTCTATATTTTACAGTCTGCAAAAATTGGAAATTAAAAAATGCCAAAGTTTCTGTTATAGTTAAATTGGCTCCATGATAAGCGTCACGTATTAAAATTTCTATATTTTACAGTCTGCAAAAATTGGAAATTAAAAAATGCCAAAGTTTCTATTATAGTTAATTTGGCTCCATGATAAGCGTCACGTATTAAAATTTCTACATTTTACAGTCTGCAAAATTTGGAAATTAAAAAATACCAAAGTTTCTATTATAGTTAACTTGGCTTCATGATAAGCGCCACGAATTAAAATTTCTACATTTTACAGTCTGCAAAATTTGGAAATTAAAAAATACCAAAGTTTCTATTATAGTTAATTTGGCTCCATGATAAGCGTCACGTATTAAAATTTCTATATTTTACAGTCTGAAAAAATTGGAAATTAAAAAATGCCAAAGTTTCTGTTATAGTTAATTTGGCTCCATGATAAGCGTCACGTATTAAAATTTTTACATTTTACAGTCTGCAAAATTTGGAAATTCAAAAGTATCAAGGTTCCTGTCATATGTATTATGTATCATAGTAGATTATGCTTCATCATAACGGGTACAATAGCAAAATTTCTATTTTTACAGTCCGCAAAATTTGGAAATTCAAGAATATCAAGGTTTCTGTCATGCGTATTAAGTATAATCTTAAATTCGGGTTCTTCTTCAGAAACCTTGTTTCTACTATAAAAAGGTGGAAGATTACCAAAGTTGGCCGGTCTTTACAAAAACGATCTTTTTGTTCTCGAAGAAGGAGATTAATCTTTCTCCACAAGCGTTTGCTTGCTGCTCGGAACAAAGGTTTGAAAGCGTGCTGCGATGTTTTCGCAAATTAAAGAGAACCAACCAAACACCCAGCCAGAGAACTAGCTAACGGATAATGAACAATTATTCCCATTGAAAAGGGCCAAGGCCAGTTTGTAGGACACAAAAAACACCCTTTCCCCTAAGTAGCGACTCCAAAGCTTCCCTTTCCTCTGACTTTGGAACAAATTCCAATTCTTGTGCGAGTAAATCCAGGCGATTATCAACCACCTCCAGCTTTAGGAAATCATCACAGTTGGGAACATCGCGAATTACTTATTGGAATCACCAACTTGACAGCTTGTATCAAAACTTAGCCAATGGGAATTGCCCGTGGCTGTGAGAAGCGGGTAGTAATTCGAACGAATATAACGCATGCAAAACGGAAAGTCCGTTTTTTTAGTGTCTCTCCTCAGTCTCGCTCTCCGTTTTCCGCCTCGCTTCAGACCTTTTTTTTGACTGCTCGCGCGTACTTGAATACGCAAAAATACGGACTGTTTTGCCGTCTAATAGAGCTGTGTCGGCCAGGAGTCTTTGACTCCTGGTAGGGCCACCCATGCCGAACAGGTCGAAGGATAGAGACTAGACTAAATGTGGTCCCCTGGTCCTCTAGGTTGGGGGTTGGGTTGAGGGCTGATAACCCTCTCTCCTCTAACCTGGAGGCGAACGGTTGAAAAGGAATAAGCAGAAGTAGGAGGGCAATTGTGGGAGGAAGTGAAGACCGTTACGGCTAACCGACAGAGATAAGTGGAGGGACTCTGTGAAGGCCTTATGTGCCCCAAGGCATGAAGAGGATAGGTGAGTGAGGTGAGGTGAATCTTTCTCATGTGAAAAAAGCCACCCTCTTCCCATAGAGGTCAATGAATTACCCGCAAGCTCTCAAAAGTAAAATATAAGGTCTGTGAACAGCTGAGGTAAAAACTGTATCCACACGCACTAGTTTGAGTCCCTGTTTTGATTTGCATTTGTAGTGGGGATTTCTATTTATATTCTCTGCTTACCTGGTCAAAATTCCTTAAGAAACTCTGCACGACAGCCTGTTGTGTTGCAGATGCGCCCAGCCCGCTATTCAGGTCAGCGGCTTGTCTAGTGAAAGAAAATGGCCCAACTATTAGAAAACAATCAAACAGGGCTTAGTAGTGGTGAACATTAAGAGGCAGTAATTAAAATCTATCTTCTTAATACTAGTAATAACCAAAGGATAAGAAGTCCGGGCGACAACGATCCAAGGCCAAAACGCTTATAATCCATCGCGGTGCTTTGCGTACGTTTCACGTGACAGATAGTCAAAACACGCGTGATCAGATTAATAATAATAATAATAATAATATTTAATACTTATATTGCGCTTTTTCTATAAAAATACCCAAAAGCGCATTACAATATTATTAATAACTAAATTAAAAACCAATAAAATTACCCGGTAAAATTACAATATTTAAAAATAAATAAATAAATAAATAATCTAACTAAAAGCCTTCTTAACTAAATATGTTTTAACAGAGCGTTTAAAAGAGTCGATTGATGTTTCCTGTCTTATTGGCAGAGGAAGACTGTTCCATAAAGATTACGAGTGACAGAAGGTCCAAACGCGCGTGATCAAATTGTGTTCTGCGCATTCCACACGTTCTTAGTGGAAGTCCAAATGGATGCTGGCTACATACATGCGACGCATGCGTAATAACAACCTGGAGATTAGGATTGCGGGTTCCTCTTGTCGCACGCAATGACAAACTATGGTGACACTGTTTTAGAAACTATTTCCACGTAAAAGAAGGTAAGAGAAAGGACACAATAATATAAACATCTGCTGTTACAAACTCTGAATACCGTCTTGTAATGACAAGCTCAAAAAAAGAAAAGTTGAAGAAAAAAACAAACCTGACATGAAAACTTGCAAGCTCTAATTTATTTTGCTCCAGCAACAGTTTGCCCTAAAAAAAAAACGAAAATCGGCGCGTCATGACGTCACTTCCGCTTAAATAAAGAAGGCAAGTCTAACGGACGGCTTAAGAGCTAATTTTGAAACTTAATTCAACAGTAGCGAAGTTTTGGCGAGCTTGCAGATAAACGCAGCCTGCATTTCATAGTGGCAAACGTTCTTGGCGCAACGTGGCTTTTTCAGGCCTGAACAGACATTGGGCTTTCAGTAGCACAAGCCTGGATTCGAGAACAGAGGTACTGAGACTCGAGCGTACGGCATAGAAGAACATCTCAAAACTTATCACTTTATCATAGATCTCTTTCCGTTGTTCACGTGTTTTTCACCGTGTTTAACATTAAGTCTGCCTTTACTTATAGTGTTTTATAGCTGCGATCAGCAATTTTGCTTGCAATTTCTCCCTCTTCAGTAATCTACAACAGTTTTATGCAAATATATCCGTAGATTGTATGGCTTAAACTCGATGTAAACGTCCATCTTAGCCTACCCGTGCCATATGGTAGTCTGATATGTCTGGACGCATATGAATCACTCGTGTGTAGTCTAGGATAGCATCTTGAACCTACGAATCAATGTAAGTAAACGCAACAAGAGGTGAATTTAGTCCTCACTTGCCATTGTTTGTATTTCTTCCCTCCCACTCCCACCTGGTTCGTCCGTTCTGTGTAAACAGTGGGAAAATATTGAACTGTTTCATGTGAATGAAGTGTCTGGTCACATTTTTCAGCCAGTCGAAAATTCGTCCGGTGCCGTGTGAACAAAATTGGCAGAGGTAAGAAGCAAAGTAGGGTTCTGGCTTTTTTATGAAAATTATTCTAACTGATGACTAGATCACCTGTGTACTCACCATATGTAGTTTATGATAAGCCTCTGCACGGCATATGTAAGCTCTGATATAAGTCGGATCCACACGGATTGCTGCGGTGTATCGACGAACGGCCCTGAACAGAAAACATGCAAAAATAACGGTTGTTGCAGACAGAGTAAACTTTTATTAGGTCTCACTTAACTGAAAAAATAGCTATAAGTTGCTGAGTTTCCAGTTATAAGCCCCAATCGAAACGACTTGATAAAACGTTTACCATCATGCTAGTTGGAGAGATCATTTCACTTCTCTCTTGGCTTAAGTAGGAAGCATATTGTTTGCTAGACATAGTCAAAGGTCACACGAGGAGTTGACATCTGACCTTCTGTTATGGAGACTACCGTACACGAAATGCAGAAGAAAACCCCATCGTATCCAGATATGCTAAGCGGGGAAACTAGTATCCGTGATCCGTGACCGTGATCTTTGGAATGACATATCAAAGACGTCTCGGCAGCGCTGGTAGTGCTGGTGATGGTAGTGTTGGTGGTAGGTGGTAGGGGAAGTGGTAATAAGGGTGGTATATTGCTAGTGGTGGAGGTGGTAGTGGTAGTGGTAGTGGAAGTAGTAGCATTTTGTTTTTTTCCTTTAAACGATCCTTACTTGTGATAGTTGCCATATTTAGTTATGTATATTAGGCCAATGTTGACATGTGCACTAGCCAATTCTGAATCCAGCTGAAGGGCAGCTTCAAAATCTGGCACAGCATCCTCCCATCTGAAACACAACAAGCCGAAAAAACGAATCATCGTGAAGATTTACATGGTCAGTTAAGAATATATATGCAAATCATTCTGTTCCGATCGGTCGCTAATCAAGATAAATTAGGATAAATTAAGACACTTGTTTCAAGACAGGTTTGATTCGTGGGTGGTGAAAGCACCCGTTTTCCAGCAATGTCGCACAACAATTTTCCTGTTTTACGGTGGCTTTACTAGGATGCAAGATTGACCCTGACATAAAACAGTCCTTTTTTCTCCCTCTTAAACTAAGAAAACTGATAACGCTAAAATGAAACAATTCCTTTGGACGGAAATGAGACATTCAGGAAGAGGTTGCACCGAAGAATGTTATTGCTATATTACTGCAATGTTATTGAAAAAACAATAAACGTTTACCTCTTAAGGTCAGTGTAAAGGATTCCTCGGTGTAGAAAAGCTTTGACATTTTCCAATGAATTATCCAGGAGTAGCGATACACTCAGATCTTGTAGAGCTCTTCGTGGATGAATTCTTAAAAACAAATGTTATAAAAAGGTCTGATGTCTACGAAAAGAAGTTAGGATACCATTTCAGAAACTAAGGGTAATGACAAGTCATGCCTGTAATGGCCTATCATAGGATACCCGGTTTGTCAAGGTTGTTACGGGTGCAATGAAGACTAAAGGATTGTCTTGTGTGTTTGGGTTTTACAGGTTGGATAGTAACTGCTATAACATGTGTTTTAAAAAGAGAGAGCCTTTGAACTTGTATTACATATCGGTCATGGAATTACTTTCTGTTGATTGTATTGAACTAGGCGCCACATAGGCGTTTACTGGGTTGCCTTACACTTGATAATTGTAAGATAAATATATTCGTAGTAAACTTATTCAAGGATTACACCGCAATAGATAGCTGATATCAATGGAGAAACCTCACCTCGCTACTTCCCCTACTCACAGCTGAGTCGCTTCTAAGACGACTTCAGCGTCTCTAGCATAAAAATGGCCAGTATGTTCATCTGCATGAAAATGTCTTAACGAAACCTTATAGCAGCCTTAGTACAAAGCTTCATGACCTTTTCACTAACTTCAAGGATTTTGCCTGACCTTTAGCTGCAAAATTCGCTGACAGTAAAATACTGTTTTTCCTCGCATGCCACGTTCCTTTTTCCCCCAAATCACTTACGCAGGAAAAGTTAATATCAATACAATCCTCCTTACTTTCTGAGTAAACAGCCTCGGTGGTAAAACGCTACGGCGTTGTTGGGATCATAATGAACAGCAGCAGCAAGGTCTTTTAGAGCAGCCTCAAAATTATTCTGCAACAAATAATAACTCCTGGATTAATAACTACGAAACTACACATCCTGCCAAGGGCGGGAATCAATAACTAACATTTTGCCCTTTTTAAATCAATAACCTTCGAATACACGAAAGAAAAAATCACGGTACGTCTTCAAAATAATAACAATTCACTGTTCTATTGTTAAAACTAACTTTGTGCACATCAGCGAGCAGATAGTCTCCTTCACAGCCGTTCGGGCCGGAGTCGCGCAATGCTCTTCGCCCTATTCGGCCAGCAAAAGGAGAGTATCTATTACAGGATTAGAGCAGCTTTGTATTTCAGTTAAAATAAACAATTCACACTCAAGACTTCTAATTTTTGAATTGAAGAAACAGGAAAAACTGCGTAAAGTCTCCGTCACTTTTAGTCAAAGGTTTAATTCGCCTCTTTCCTTGCCTGTTCTCAATTCGCAAATCAGAAATTTAATTTTCAAACTCACAAACCTCGCTATAGATATCAAAAAATTCAATTTGAAACATTAAACATATCACATTTGAAACCAAAAATCCCAACTTGGATAACAAAGCAATGTGTGCGTACCTTCTTAGCATGGACTCTTGCTCTGTAAGTATAGGCTGAAGAGTTTTCTGGGTCTTGCTGAAGAATTGATGTGAAGTCTCTAAGCGCCGCAGTCCAGTTCCTGTGCGTAGGAAAGTAATTACAAAGATAAAGACCTTAAGAGAGACCATCTCCAGCGTACGTGTACAGGAAAATAACCTGTTGCTGTATCTTGAAATACTCCTGAACTGTCTCTCGCCCCGGAGAAACCGGTAGGTTTCTAAGTGGAACGATTTTGCCATCACACAATTCAGGCTTACGTGGTTGATTTTTATACGATAATATGGCATGTAAGATCTTTATTGATCAGTGTAAATTCTCAGAAGCAACTAGCAAAAATTTTGAATCGAAGGTTCCAGAAAACGCTCTATGTAGGACATGGAAAAACAAATAAAACGCACGGATAAATGTGTAGTCATCTGTGCAGGAAGCTCTAACTTCGATTCCCAGGTGTTGCCTAAAACCTTCGTTCGACTTCTGTCCTTTTTGTGTAGCCTTAAGTAGCTAGAAGATCAAATTATATGGTTTTGTTTAACTTGAACCTTTTACCTTGGGTACCCGTAAAACCGAGCGCTGAGGAAGGAAGTGGGGTGAGGGTTGAATCAGCCAACCGTCGGCCTCAGCTTTGTAAGTCTAACGTGTCCCGTTACGAGTGACCAACGTGAAATAAAGACCTTTACCTTTTACTACAGTGCACAACGATATGAAAGTAAGGAAAGTTAGACCAAGTTAAGCTTTAACACAACCGTCCATGGAAACTTTGTGAAAGTACTTACTCGTTGTTAAAACGAAAGAGACCTATCTCAAACATGGCATCAGTCTTGGAAGGCAGTAGCTGTGCTGCAATCTTGTAGTCCTCAAGTGCAAGAATCATGTCTCCACGCTTAAATCAAATTTTGATGAACAAGTTTTAGTGATAAAGAATCATTATTTCATTTTGTAAAATGTGAAAAACAAAATGCACCAATTGAGAGTACTGGCAAAAAGGTTTTATTTCAATGGGCACACCATAGGATATTGTCCACATACTCAAGAGTTAGAGCCACCTGACAAGAGTACATCATTCAATTTTGTGAGCGAAAGAGTTCAACAGCCTAGAAACGAAATATCCATCTCTCGCTTGCAACTAAGTTGTGAGGCTTTTATAGTAATGATTTCTTTTACAAATTAAAAGTTGAAATATAGTTGATTGGTTACGATAAACTGGTAATAATAAGAAAAAAATAAAATACCATTTTAAACATGGCTGCTCGCTGGTAGTACGTCTCGGCATCATTTGGGTTCAGCTTAATCGCCTACAACAAAGTAACTTTGCTAAGTAAAGGAGAAAAATTAGGTAAACAATGAAGCATACAGGCATAGAGTAGAGATTTACCTGAGAATAGTTAACTATAGCCATTGTGGCATCGTTTTCTTGACGGTAAAGTTCTGCCCTGATGTTTGCAAACATAAAAGAAATCAGCCAGAATAAACCCTCATAATATTAAATGAAGATCAATAACGTCAGTTTTCTGTATAAACCGTGTATAATCGGCTTACCCTAACCTGTACATATAACGGCAGACAAATTATCACTGGTTCATTTTGCATTTAAAAACGTTCATAATCAGGTATTTAATTAATAAAGTTGCTAAAGGGCGCACTTTAAGCCTTTAAGCCTCGCTCTGTTGTGTGACCCTCGCCACCGTTATTGTTTTTACTTAATAAACGTTTGTAAATAAATAACCTGAGAAACTGGATACAAGTAACCTTTCGTAAGATACTACAGATAACAACTAACTTTTAAGAGTTGTTCAAGACCAACCATGAAAAGCCGATGCATTATTTGACGCTAAAATGTTTATCAAAAACTGAACTCCCAAAAAACATAACAACTACAGTAAGGTTAGTATCTTCTTTTAAGAACCTACTTTAGTTCTGTGCTTTATAATTTCCAACCACGAAAAATGTGATGGGTATATAATTTGACACTAAAATATTAATTTAAAATTTTTGAACTTTTGTGTCTTGCAAAAAAAAAATTTTCGTTTTTACTGAGCACGCAATAGAAAATTAAAATCCATATTTTCAAAACCAGCTTTTCATCGTTCTACCGTTTTGTTTCTGAATGAATTGTGATTGAACAGACATTTCTTACTTTTTTTGTGTACCAATTTATACAATGGAAAAATGGAGTAAATTTTGGCGGGAAAAATGTTTGCGGTAAGTTTTATTTGCGGGAACTTATTTTTGTGGATCGCTGGAAAAATCGCAAAAATCGCAAACATTACAACCCGCAAAAATTCGTCACACACGGTGTGTACGTGTACGGCACTCAGAGGAACTAACCTGGACCGAAAAGCTCGTGCCTGTGTACTGCTGTTCTTAATTATAAAGGACAGATCATCCAGAGCGGCCTACGAGAACAGTAGTTTATAATGTTTTTTAAGCATCATTGATCCTATACTAAGTGGCCATGTTAACGTTGTGTTTGAGACTGGGTCAATGTTGGTTCGAACTGCATGATGGGACTATTTTGGGGGAGGAATTTTGATCCAGTTTTCCTTGCGACCTTGTAAAATTCCCATGTAACACAACACCGATCTGGCCTCAAACTCAACCTCAAAGAGGCCTACAGAGTGTTTTCACTCACGAGGCGAGCATATATGCAAATTTATTGGAACAAAAGAAATTGTTTGCATAAGAAAAGAGTTCAACTCCCACAGGACTGGTTTGGGACACCAACATGGCCGCCGTATCATTGTTTTGGGACACCAATATGGCCGCCATGACGTCACGTGAAAACACTCTATACTCTAGTCGTCATAGAAATGACAAGCGCGAAGGTTGTGTCAAGGCTGAGAGTGATTTAATTACGCTTTAATATTTAAGCTCACTACTGCACAGACAGTCTTCAACAGAAGTAAAAATGGTGAAATGGTGAGATATCGTCACTCGCAACCACAATTTAATAACTTAGGACTTTTTAAAAATAACCAAGAAAAGTCAGTCAGTATAGCTCTCTAGACATGGTCTGTGATTGAAGAATGAAACAATAGATGATTCAAAGGAAACAGTACCCCGAGCCCTAAAACAAAAGAAACTGCTGCTTATAGAGGCCAATGAAACTACAGGTCTGGAAGAGTTACTGTACACTACTACCGAAATGACCAAGGAAAAATTATTAGAGATCGAAGGCTAAAACGAACCTTTTTATTATCCTGCAAGAGATGAAGCAAATGCCTGTGCCAGTATGCATCCAAAAGTTTGGGTTCAAGCTCGATTGACCTGATCATAACGGAAAAGAGTGCGTTGGATTCTAATATCACTAAGATAATCATAAGACGTCAAAGACAATGAACTTTTTAAAAAAGACACACCTGTTTAAGTCATCCCACGCTTTCTTTAATTGTCCAAGCTGTAAGTAAAGGCAAGCGAAGCAGTAAGACAAGGGGAGTGGTTTGTTACTCCGAAAGCGTGTCAGGTGTAGCGAGCGGGCCACTGACCTATGGAAAGACTCTTGGTGATCTAGCCCGATTACGTGGTAAAAAATATATCTTTTTATCATCTTAAATTTTTATCGCGCGACTTTTATTCCCCTATTTTACCTCATATAAAAAGGTAGTTTTCATTGATATGAAAACAATAGCAGTGGTTTGGCCCGTTCACAAAAGAGGTGGGTAATCCAATGTATCAATCAGAACAACAGGTAGTTAAATGTGATGTCAAAAGTGTAAATAAAGTGATGACGTCATAAAAACTTCATTTGTTAGATTATGGGATAGGCTGGCAAGTCCAGAAAGAAGTAGATGACTGAAATATGTTCACCTGCCAAATATGAGCCTGTTTGCGCAAATTGACGGGGAGACATAAGCACCATTATGGTCCGATGACTCTAAATAAATCTTTCCAAAACAGGCCTGGATCGTAATGTTACGATTTGTCTCCCACGCAGACTGGGAGGCTACAGCGTAAAGCGCAAGAAACACGAAAGTGGAGGCAAATCAGGGGTGATTTTGGTCTCACTCTTGACTGGTTGATTAAGTGATAAGAGATTTATCAGTCAATTATAAAGCCCAGTAATGCAACACTAAAGCAACTGTATTATTACTTTCACTACTTAACTAAATACCACGTAAAAATTTAAAATATAACGAGGGGAAGACAGGGTGGACATGATGATCCGGAAACATCGCAACGATAAGTTGTGCTGTACCTTCCGGAACACAGCGCCTCTTCGACATAAATAGATGGCGACTGATTCAGTCCCTTGTGGAGTCTCTATCAACTCTGTAAGTCGAACAGCTTCTTCCTGAAGTGCCTATAGGATAAGGGAAGAGAGAACTCTAGATGAAACTGACTGAGTAGTAAGCTATGGTAGTATGGACAATACCAACAGATTTTCAAAAATCTTTAGTGGCAGATCCAGTCAGTAATGTATGCCAAAATGGACACCGTCAGATTTACTTTTCAACGTTGTTTAAAAAGAGTAGAGATCAGCTGTAATCCGTTCAACAAATAGCAACTATTTATCATGTGTTTAGAAGAACAACATCCGGGCTAACAAAGGTTGAAAGGTTCGTCACTACTCGCCCCATGTAAGGTAATCTGGATTACCGAATCCAGGAAAATTTTGCTTTTGGAATCTGGAATCCTGGGCTTTGGAATCCGTAATTCAGCACAAGAAATCTGGAATCCGGATTCCAATTATCCAGAATCCAAGACTGTGTTAGATTGCCTTACATCGAACGACACTACTTTAAACTGTGTGTCTTTAGGCGAAAAGGCATCGTGGTTTATACGGTCACTTGATTTATTACCTCGTATAGTTGTTGGTCTGAACTTCTTATCTGAGGTTCAATAACTTGGATGTCTTCCAATATATCGTTGTTTATAACAACTTCAGTTGTCTTGCTGAAAGAAAGAAAAACACTGTGGTTGAGGTTATCATCTAACAAGGCCCGCAATGTTTAACTCTTCCAGTCCTACTGTAGATTTGCCACATGTAAGACAATCTGGATTCCGGCATCTGGCAAAGTTTTGCTCGTGGATCCCGGACCATTGCGCTTTTGAATCCAGAATTCAGTTTAAGGAATCAAGAATCCCCGCTAACAATTGGAATCCGGAATCCAAGTTCACTCGCAAGGAATCAGAAATCCAGTACCTGGAATCAGGGATTTACAGCGTGGAGTCCAGAGTCCAAGACTACCTTGGATTACCTCTCTTGGAGCGAATTGATCAAGCAGAAATTTAATAATATACGGTGTAGTTCGACTATTAAGTTTGTCTAGTAGGCAGCAGCATAGAGGCAGCATGGCCGAGTGATATCAACTCAGTTGCACAGGGTACAAATCTACGGTTAAGAAGTCAGCTAGTCAAATAGTTAAACAGTCAACTTGCCGAGTTGTTCGAATGACGATTAGCGCTAATCCAGGGGTAGTTACCAACAACTGATTACTCAAATGTTCTGTTTGCAGTTAGCCCAGGATTATTGCTAACCGGGGTCGGGTTGTTCAAACCTGGGCGGGAGGACGCGGAGGAGTTATTTGTGACCTTGACTGCAGATGAGGCGAGAGTCACCTTTGTTTACTGAAGAAACGAATATGAACTTGACCGATCTAACGACCATGCAATCGTGTTACAAACCTGCTAAAATATTATCCAATGCTATGAGAAAGGGATAACGAAATATTCTCCCTACGGTATCTGAAGTGGGGGATTACAAGACACTTCATTACAAGGAAATCAACTGTTTCACCCTTACCTCTGCGTCTGTGGTCTAGGTGAGCTCAGGCTTTGAAGGTCAACTAAATGCAAATGAAAACAGCATTGTATTAATTACACTTATACTAGTGAACATTGGTCTTCAACCCATTTCTCACGATCAGTAAGGCCTGAAAATATCAGCGCATTTTAAAACTACGATTATATAAGACTTACACGCACACTGAAACAGTCATGGCAGCTTTCAAACGAGAATCGAAGGAAAGTTTGTGCTTCGTAATGTGCTCACAATCTCGTGCTTCATTAATAAAACCAAAACCATTATTATTGTGCCTTGGCATGATAATAAAAGGAGACAGACTGTAAACGATTGTTGCTACTACAAATATCTAACGGTCGTTGTAACCGTTCGTTTGGTTTCGGCTCCATTAAATCCTGTACCAACTGGAAAACACTTGAGGACGAGCCACCTACAATAACAGCACAGTTACTGAGCAAAATATTGTCTTGAAAGGGGGGTCTGATCCCGCATTAAAGCTTCTTTTCACGAAAATCCCGCAACCTAAACTTCTGTCATTACTATCCCGAATATCGTTTTCTTTCCCAATACCGAACCCGTGCCCAAATTTTGGCGAATCCCGCTCCCCGGTGGCAGTCAAACCCGTATCCCGTTAATGTTTCCCGAATCCCGCACTATATTTTGGTTCAATCTCCGATCACAGGAATACCCTTCCAGTCCCCGAGGACATATTTCTAACATGATTTTTGCAAGACAGTGAAAACCCGCAAGTAAGAACCTGGTTCAGTTTTTAAGAACCTGTTGGAGTAAAATTTGCCAGTCAGTTAGACCCTTCTAGATAAGAACCTGTTTAGCCTAAAATTTGAAAAAGGTCCTTATTTTCTAAAATCTATAAAAACATTGTGTATGCTGGGGCAAACAAGACAAATCGTCATTCAGATAGCCTGTGTACAGACCCCCTTCTCCTAGAATCCTTAGAATCCTCTTTAGAGACAAAGGTGCCGAATCAGTCCAAGTGCAACACTAATTTACGACGCAGATTTTATATGAGGAATAATCTGAATTCCACTAGATACCCTTATGTACAATGTACTTTTTTTCTTTAGAAGATAAGAACCTATTTAAGAACTTTATGTAACAACCTGTTTAAGCTAACTTGGGAAAATGCAGGTTCTTACTGACGGGGTTTCATTGTACCACGTCACTTACATTTGATTTCTGGGACTGCTGGTGTTGGCGGATACACGTCATCAAACCAAACATACCAAAAACGCTCACGCACTGAATCAAAAGATACCTCCTCTTCGCTAAAGAAAAATACAGATACATCAACTGTGCTTCGCGATGAAGAATTCTTAATCTTAAGATTCAGGGCTACAAATTCAACACCTCTCATTGTCCCTTACACATAGATTGTCTTATTCATGACGGTCAGACTCGATTATCCCTCTGCAAGTATCACACACGTATTTTACAACAACGGCAACAAAATTATGTATCATCATCTAATTTTCCAAGATTTTTTGACAACACGTTTCTTACAAGATGAGACGACTAAGTATTAAGTAGGACCTTCTAGACCTGATTGGATTGGAACATGAGAACTATGCACTAACTGGGTGTGATGGTCCATCGATATAAACCAAAAAGTCCACTTGGACTCAAGAACTATTGAGCGTTCGTAAAATGCCAGATGAAAGTGAATACTCATTGACATACCTTGTAAATTCGTCTTCAAAAAGTCTTTCGTGGTCAAAGACTTTTGGTTCACTGTTTACTCTGGTTAACTCGGACCTAAGAGAGAAATGCACAAGCGTACATAAAGTAGTAATTTCAGCACTGTTACGCGCTTTAACAAAAGTAAAAAACACGTTATGTTACTTTTTAGCTCCGTCATTTATGTCTAGTAAAACGAATTTAACCCACAACCTTATAAAGACAAGTCAGAAGCTCTGACCACTTGAGTTACTAGCAGGAGAATCGATGCTAAGCCTATACACAACAAAATGGGACCAAGTGATTAGTATGGACCCTTGGGGTACGCCAGACTTTACCTGCTGAGATGCAAACTGTACGCTGCCGTAGACAACAGATTGATATCGTTTCGTAAGATAGTTCTCAAACCACCTCAGTTTATGGTTTATGATGCCATACCCAGGCAATTTATTTTAAGAGAAGTTGGTGATTTACTCTGTCAAAGGCTTTTTTAAAGTCGAAAACACACCCCTTGTCAATGCCTCTCTAACCCTAACCCTAAAACAACTATCCCCTCAGGGTTAGTGCATAGTGATGCATATATGTGATTTTTTGGGGTAAAGGATCGAACTCCAAGCTACTATGCACTGCGGTATTTGAAGGAAAAATAAGAGACAGCTCACCAACAGTTCATCCCTAATGATTTATTCCATCAGAATCATGATTGTGAAGAGATAGAACAATATCTATCTTGCGGTGGATACATTACGGTTTATTGGTGCAATGATTATTTAAACAAGACCTAACATGGGCGACAAGGGTTGAATCGAGGTCCAAGCGGAGTTACAAGCTTACCTTGCACTGGCACTTGTCATCCTCTGGGAAGACATTTGTTCCCGCAAGTTTCTCATATCAGCGAAAGAAACACATCTGCAAAGCAACACCACTGGTAATGTGACCGGTCGCACGGGCATCGCGAGGTCACGGGTTCAAATCCCCTTGATGTTCTGAATTTTTTCAGGCTTCTTACGCAACTGCATAAATTGCGTTCACAACTGCGAGGATCATTCTTCAATTGACCACAGATAATGCCAGCTACCTTTCAGATGTCATTCGTAAGTGAGCAGGCTCACTTTGGCGAGTTCGGGGATAATTTTTGGCGCCGGAGGCGCCACTATTCCCTTGGCGCTGTCAGATCGGCCGCCAAAATTTTTCCCGAACTCGCACAAGTGAGCCTGACCGTCCACAAGATGAGGTACATGTATGTACAATCTAGCTTACAGACCACTTGAACAACGTGTATGGAGAGCAAGCCTACGCTAATATAGTAACTGGAAAATCAGATCATTAACTTGTCTTAATATTGAAAATCCTAATAGTTCAAATCCCGAAGTTCATTTGTAGTAAGAATAAGTGCTAAATGTAAGTGTATAGTGAGGAAATAAATATAAATAGCAGCGTATTTAAATCATTGCACCTGTGTGCTGTTGTTCATTTGACAGCAAGCAAATCATCCCGTTTATATTTGGCGATTCTTCACTTGGTCAAATTAGATCAAGCAATTTGGTTTTTGAGGCAAAAACTCTTGCATATGCCCCTTTCCCCCGGAACAGTACATGTAAATCAGAAGTTTAGTTTCCTGGTAATTTCAGCTATAATAAACGCCTCCTGAACAAACAGTAACACTATTCAATTGACACAAATTACTTTAGACAATGTGGATTCGAGCAAGGACCAGAAACTTCGAATTTATCCTAAAAGAGGCTTGAATAAGGGACACTTTCTTTTTAGCGTACGATGTTACATCTTTTGCAATAACTGGATGTTTAGGCTTAGTATCACCCATTTCCGAACCAAAGAAAAAGCCAGGCGGCCAAAATTGTTTTGGTACAGTTTCCATTGTACAGTTAACAAAAGATGAAGTTGCTTGGTTGACTAGTCCCTGTTCTGGACGAAATTTACCCTAAAAACATTGGCCATTTCGAGTTGCAAACGGAGTCAGTGTTGTGTTGGACTACTACACTTTCGGACTGTTTTACGGGAAGGAATTTGACATTGATACCAGAGATAGCCACTGAAGAAGCACTAGTGCGCTCGGAACAGTTCTACAGTACAGTGGCGGATCCAGGGGAAGGGCCCGCCCCCAACCTCCCCACAAAATGGTCTGCACCCATTACAGTATATGCCTGATTCGTTAAAGGTTGCTTTGGTAATTGGTCATTGGCAATAAAGTGTTTGGGCATACGAAACTCACTGCAATGATTTGCTTGAGTGAATGCCAAACAATAACTTACCAGTGCGCAAAGCCCAATGCCCAAAGCAACCTTTATTCAGGTATACACAGTACGGACATGGACAGACGAGGGCTGACTGGCCAACAGCCATACACAGCGCTCCCTCATGCCAGCCTGCACCATCCATCGCCTGACCAGAGAGCATTAATTCAACTAAGCTAACCAAGAAATCAAACCTTGAGATCTTGTTTGCTGGTTGGTTAAAGAATTCTCTTATCTCCTGTTCTCTTTCCTGTCACATACAAAAAGTCAAAACATAACAAACTCAACAAGCGAAATAAAACATGACCTTCTCAATTTTTGCAACAGCAACTGTTTCCGTATACATACCAGTTGTTTTTTCGTTTTTCTCTTCATTTTCCGGTGATGAGGTTTCCTAAATGTAGGCCAATGAGAGTAACAACCAATAATGATTGGTCAATATCGGTAAAAAAAATAAGAATAGGGGTACATAGAGCTTGTGGCTCACATGACCGGAGCCCAGGAGGGCATTCAAGGCAAGTTTGGGTACAGAGGTGCCACCGATGCCTTCAAACCATGACTACGTTTAAGACAAAAATAGCTCATTTCCTTTGCCTGTTTAACCCTTTAAACCCTTAAATCAAAATTAAAACTCTCATTTGTCGACCTATACGAAGAGGCCGATACGAAGAGGCTCTTTCCAAAGGGCTACTTTTTTCAGGCTTCAGGTTATAGGGTAGGGATTTCACTAGTTGAAGTATATGAAATGGTGAGGAAACCTGTCATTTCGGTCTGTAAAATAACCTAAAAGGGCTAACAATTGTATTTTACGGCTGTGAAAGAGTCGAAAAAAAGTTTGAATTTACAGATGTTGAAAAGGGTGCCAAGTTCTACAGTAGGAATGTAAAAGGGGTATCATTTGTCAATAGAAGGTATATGAAAGGGGTACCTTTTCTGTCAAAAATGGGTATATAAAAGGGTAAGGGGTTGGACCTCGGGGCGGAGCCTCTCAGTATAAAACTTTTTTGAGTACCCCTCCCCCGGGGTTTGTAGGTCCATTGTGCTAAAGAACTATTCAACTCAAGGACTCTCACCTTGTACTTGTCAATCCTGTTGTGCCTGTTTGTATTGACATACTTTCTCCAGCGTCTGTCCAACCCTCATCAGTATCATAATCATACGTTCGTGCTTGAAAATCTTGTGTGGATTCAAAAGAAAAAGAGACGTTTCACGTGTGAGTGAGGCAATGGTCCAGTTTCGAATTCGTCGCGGCCGCTGAATAGAAGCGCTGAAGACTCATTTATACAGGGTTAGCTTCGACCTAAGGTAAAAATAATCGCAAATTCCAGCCAGAAGAAGACCTTTGTACAACTGTGTCTATTGTTTTAAACTCAAATTCAGGCACCTTCTCGCCGGAATTTGTGAATATTTTACTTTCGGTCAAGGCTAACCCTGGATAAATGAGTCTTCAGCGGCCGCGACAAATCAGAAACTTAACAGGACTATTAATTCAAACTTACCACAGTTAAGACCTACAGTTTGTCAATTCAATCATTGTGCGTCGACCCTGTCATACCTGCAATAGTACTGTGCACCTGGGATGTCTGTGCCACATGTCCTGAAAATGAATTGTCCTGGCGTTCGCTGTCTTCCTGTTCTTCCTTTCCCAGCTGTTTATCTTTGATTGCGGCAATCTGATCACGTTGAAAATTCAACTGAATGGAAAAAAGACAAGGGCCACATTAACCACAATTTGCATTGGAGTCTACGATTTCTTGCATCTACAATAGACAGTTGTGTGGTAGAAAATTTTGTGTGAAATCATGCACTATCCCTAAAGCTAAACACACTCGGCACTAGCTCCACTGTCCCACCATAGAAAGGTGTCAGGCGAAATTTAGTGCATCTTGGAGGTGAAGGGGTGCCTGGGCTGAATGAGGCGAGAGCTGGTACATTGTCACAGGGGGTATTACCGATACGTTTACATTACCTCATCCATACTGATATCATAATCTGCAGAAACCGTGAGAGTCTCCTCATCAAACGATAAAAGAGGGTGTGATACCGATCTACAAGACAAATATGACCACAGTCACAAAAACGTGCATAAAAGTTATACATCACGTATAATCGTTAGCGAAAAAAATTTACCAAAAAACTGTATCAAGGTGACATAATTTTATTAAATACACAAAAGCACATTCAAGAAACAGTGACATACGACCAGCACACTACTAGCTGAGTGGTCTGGACTGTCCATTGTTATGTGGGGAGTACAGGGGGTAGAAACTAGACATTCCCGCAGGATAGGGGGCGGGAGAACAAAGGGCAGGAGGTGGGAGTTCTACAGCAGGAAGAAGAAAGAGAAATGGGGGGATTACTCAAAAATGGTTAACACAACTTGTCATTCAGTTTAACCTCGCCAAAGCAATGTTTAATTGCGAGCATTCCATGAAATTAAACCAAGCAGATAAGTTCAGACACGTTGACTGTGAAGATCAAGGGAACTGGACCCAAAGCATTGCAAAACCCTTAAGACAAAATGTCTGCTGCAATAATATGTAATGATATTATTTTGTAAGGCTTTTAACGGATTCGACAAGCCTCCTAGATTCCTACATGTAGGTCTCCCATACACAAGGGGATAAGCCATATAATTATGTAATACCTTTATGGTCTTCCTAAGACACAAAATATTGTCTCACTGTTTCTCCCAGTTAGTTATACCAACAGACGTTATTCACGTTAACTACCATCTTTGTGCGCACTTTGGAATCAACCGATAAAATTTGCCAAATGATAAGTCGCGGTCAAGTTTTTTAAATTCTCTCAAAATGAGTCGACGATTTTAGTACAGTTGGAGTTTCGACAAGTTTTACGTCAGTATTGCTTGCCGAGAGGATATCTACTGTCGTTGCTGCACCCAGAAAAGAAACAATGATTACTTCCACTCATAATTTACCATTACCTTCTTTAAGGGAAAATAGTTGTTCATTTTCTGTTGACTAGAATAAACAAACTCGACCGCAATTTCTTGCATTGGCAGCTTTTATCACTTGTTTGCCCCCTGAGAAAGTAGGTGACATTGCTTTTATCTTAAGCATGAGTAATGTAACATACATGTAGCCCTGGGTGCTGATATCCTGTGACGGAGTTGTATCTGTCTAGGTAAAGTGAATAAGCTGGCTGGCGTTCCTGCGGTTCAAGAGGAAATTTGTCTGGGGCACGCATATGGTACTTTTCATGTGTAGAACTTTACCTGAAGATAGACAACCCTTTTTCTCGTTCTTTCAAATCAGCTGGTTCCTCATCAACTTCGATTTCTTCATTATCTTTTCCTTCTATCACACTCTCATCATGTTGTTTATTCTCCTGCCTCCTCTTGTCAAGTACAGACACAAATCGGCTTGGCACTTCGAAATAAAAAAGAGGGAAATGCACTTTACTCTTCAGTATCTGTATTGAAATTCTCAGTCTTGTCACTACATATTTCTTGTAGGAGTGGTACAGGAGAAGTAGTACAGATCAGATGATCATAAAATATCAGAGGGGATTTTATCCTTTTCTTTTTGCGCAGGACGGGTCGTGAATAATTTATACCAAAACTGCCGATTAACTGATTCACGCGCTACATGATTCTCGTAACGCGCGCATGACGAGAATCACGTAGCACATGAGAAGTGACTGGTAACTTACTTTTGTGTAATTCTGTAGGTGACCACGCCCTCCCATATTAGGCTGATTTAGCAACAGAACGGGAACGTCAGTTGAAGACGGCGCGCGCAAATCAAACAACTGGATTGACCAATGGCAGAGCGGCAAATTGAGCACCGGAAGTCGTGTTTAGTCCTTTCCGCGCGCTTTCCTGTCGTCAACTGACGTTCCCGTCCTGTTGCTAAATCAGCCTATTCTCTAACTGATGAAGCATTGGTGATGAAAGGAGAAAGAAATGCAGTAAATACAGGGTTCCTACAGATTTTTGGATCCAAAATTCAAGACTTTTTCCAGACTTTTTCCAAAACAATACTTTATTTTTCCAGACTCAAGGTGAACAAATAGGTGATCACTGATAGAGACCTTGAAAAACGCAGGAACCAAGCTTTTTTCAGGATCCACGGTAAACGTTCGGTAACCACGGTGAAATGCGGACGTAACAGAATTATGAAAGTTCTCATTCAGTGAATAAATGTCTCAGCTTCAGGCCAGATTGAATGGGATTTGACCACGGAGAAAAAAATCACTTAGTAAGCATTTTTTGTAACTTTTAAAAAAACTCCAGACTTTATCTCTATTTTCAAGACTTTGTGCACGTCTGGAAAACAGCTCGGCAAATTTCAAGACTTTTTCAAGTATTCAAGACTTTGTACGAACCATGTAAATAGCCTCTGGTAACGCAGCAGAGGAAAGGAGAGGAGAGGGACAAGTGCGACAGTGGTTTTAACGGCATGGATGTGAACCGATTCAGGGATGATTTTACACTAAAAGAGTGTGTGCTATATATACAAGTATGTGTCGAGTGACAGTAATAGGGACTTTACTTTTACTTTGGTAAAGCAGCAGAGGAAAGGAGAGGAGAGGGACAAGTGCGACAGTGGTTTTAACGGCATGGATGTGAACCGATTCAGGGATGATTTTACACTAAAACAGTGTGTGCTATATATACAAGTATGTGTCGAGTGACAGTAATAGGGACTTTACTTTTACTTTGGTAAAGCAGCAGAGGAAAGGAGAGGAGAGGGACAAGTGCGACAGTGGTTTTAACGGCATGGATGTGAACCGATTCAGGGATGATTTTACACTATTTACTTTGGTAAAGCAGCAGAGGAAAGGAGAGGAGAGGGACAAGTGCGACAGTGGTTCTAACGGCATGGATGTGAACAGATTCAGGGATGATTTTACACTAAAAGAGTGTGTGCTATATATACAAGTATGTGTCGAGTGACAGTAATAGGGACTTTACGATCCGATGACGCGATGGCAGAGGAAACGTCACTTAAAAAGTGAATTTGCGTTCTTCCTTAGTAGACGAACCCCCCTGCAGTTGCGTGGTTAGCCTGTTCCAAGCGTTCAGATAGTGGAGAGCGGTGTGGAGTAGAGAAAGCGATGAAAAGTAGAGGGGGACTGGGGAGAGGTGTGGAACTTCCCGTAGACGAATCCCCACTATCTGAACGCCCACTATCTGAACGCCTGGAACAGGCTATTGCGTGGTTGAAACGTTGGGTCCGTAATATTGTAAGTCAAACTTAAATCCTGGTAGATTTATTTCGAACGGGGTCATTTTACTAGCTTAGGTCATTTCACAAAAAACATTTGGGTGGGTTTTCGCTTTAATCCACCTATTTTGGTCCTGGTAGTTGAAAAGATCAAGGTTGGTTTCAGATACATTTATCAATATTGGTTATTCCTTATAAATGTATACTCAGAAAAGTGAGAGCTTTGCTTAAGAAGTAAGTACAATATGTATGCTTTGCAGTTATGGCCCAACATCAACGGTGCATGGTAATTTTTCCATCGTAAACTCTTTGAAGAGACATGTAAAATGAGAATAGAACCTAGAACGTTGAGTTGGCTACAGGTAACCCTAGTAACCCTTCATGGCAGGGTACATGTGCATGGACATTTTCTGTGACATTTAAGTCCATCATTGTGATCTTACCTTCACCCTCATCTGCTTGTTCCCCCTGCACCACCCCGTCTGTATCTATTTTTGGTCTTATCACTCCCTCTAGTTCTGTAGGTAACACCCAGAAACCTTTGATGTCAGAGGTGCATGAATATTTCCTGTGACAAGTCCATTGCCATTAGCTTACCTTCACCCTCATTTGGTTGATCTCTCTCTACATGTAGCAACCCTCCTGTATCTGTTTTTGGTCGTGTCACTCCCTCTAGTTCTGCTTTAAGCTTGGTAAGATCATTCATAGATCCATGTGTGCGACTTAATGTTCTAAAGAGAAAGTAACACGTCAGTTACCTCTGGAATTTGGAAATTTTGGTTTTTTGAATCATTGTTGGGCAAAGGAGAGAACCAACAACAAACTCCACCCACATATTGTGTCGACACTGGGATTTGAACCTGGGCCACATTGGTGGGAGACGAATGCTCTCACCACTGCACTGTCCTTGCTCCCCTTTAGTTAGTAAGTATTGAACTACACCTGTTTCTTGCTCTGATTTCTTCAGTATCCAAATCAACTTCTGTTTCATCATTGTCATCACTGTCTAACCCTGTCACTGTCCTCAGCTCTGTCCCTAAACTCTCCTGTAGCAGTGATGCACCCTGATAGTCAGGATACAACTGCGATTTAATGGTGGCTGGTGCTAGGTTCATTTTGGGTGGAGCTGGAGTCCAATAGAGTCTATGAAGGGAGTAATGATAACATTAACAAATATTCAAAGGTTTTACTTGTTATACTGAAATAGCCTGAGAGGAGGTACAAATAGAGAAGATAGAGAAGGTAAATATGTAGAAAAATTAGTTTGGAGAGTTTGCAGGTTTCAAGTCAAGCATGCTGGGGTTAATAACAAAACCTCCAACCCTTTTAGATGGCCCAACTAATCATGATTACATTTGTACAGGTAACAATCACAGATTAATAAAGTGTGGTCAAGATTCCAATTCATGCATGTTATCACATAGTTGGCAATGGAGAACGTGTCAAACATGTGTGATTTCACAATAAATTTATCTTTTTATAGTTCTGGAGGGAACAGATCAAGGGAACATGCATGAAATCACATGGTTTTAACATGAAAATGAGGCCAGTAGCTTGCATGAAAATAATGAGGTTAATCTCTGCCACAGAGAAAATGGATGCCATCCTTAAAATTAATTTTTCAAGCCAAAACAAAATTAGTAAGCAGTTTTGTCAACTGCAATCAATTATTCTGAGTCTTTCATAACCAAGTCTGAGATTCATCTTATAATTACTAAAAGCTTATTATTATTCCTCTAGCTTTAAGTAAAACCAACCACTGATTGAGAGAGGAGGGGAAATGACTGCATTGTCAGCACGTAATAGGTTTGTTAGACAGGTGATGACTATTTCAAGCTACCAACATAAAAAAGTCCTGACCCTTCACCCTCTTTTTGGGCATGACTGGAGGTATGAGAGCTGTGTTTCTTTAAGTAGTTAGTTGTTTAAAAGGTTTTTATTTTTCCTAGTACATAGAACTATGCTTTTTGCACCTTTGCTTTGAAAGTGCACTGTAGTTATTATTGTTACCTTGAAGTATCATCCTTCAGTTCCACTTTCACACCGACTACATGTATATCCAGAGATTCTCCTTCTTCGGCTGAAAACTAATCAGAATAGTGCAATACAATACAACAATCTTTTTAACTAAGAAAAAAAGTGTGAATCTATTACACCTAGTTGCAAGTTAGTTACAAATCAAAACTCTAAATCATACATGTAATTACCTTATTATCACTGTTACATCAAATCAAGTTTACTAAAGATCTTGCAAATGGGAATGCAAACAAGATCAGCACATTTGCAAATTATTCTCTCAGATATCTTATCAAGAGTTTTTAAACACTTGATTATTATTCATCAGTGTTATATTACATGACTGTATATTATTTATTAAGTCTTACCCAGACGTGACCCAAAAAAAAATTGTTATATAAAAAGCATGTTACATTTAATATGTCAACTTCAAAATGCTTTTTTTAATCTAGCTCTTTTTTTTTTAATTGTTGGTAACTCACCAATTTATCAGAAGCATTCTTCAGCCTGCTCAGAGTCTCATCTGAGTCTCCAACCACTAAAGCCTCTTGCAGGATCCTCTGTGCCACAACTGAAAAGCGCCTTTCTTCAGTTTTTCCCTTGTCTGGCTTGTCTTCCTCATTAGTTTCCTCTTCTTCAACTTTGGTAACTTCACTTACCTCATCCAAAATCTGCTGTTAAATGCAATATTGTATGAAGTATAGTGAGTAATAAAATAATATTAGCTCCAATAATTATGTGTAGCATTAGGTGCTCAACTACTGTGTATTAAAAACTAAATTATTTGTCTGGCGATTTTTTAAGTACTATGCACATTAATATGTTAGAAAAGTAGGCAACAAGGGCTGTATTGGAAGAATTATCACTTCAAAATCAATTGAGAGCATTAATAGAAGATGTTGAACATGCAGCATAAAAGAATCAACATCTTCATTTATTTGTTATGATGTAATTTTAAGTCATGTAACAAATCACTTATTACACTGCAGCAGGTTGTAGATTTCTCATCAGAACCATTAACCGTCAAGATCATTCTGGCCACCCTGTACCTTTAATGCACAGAACTTAATGCAGTGAGTTCATGCATTAAACTGCCGCCTGGTTAGCTCAGTTAGATAAGCACTGGTCTGCCGAGTGGGAGGCTGCTGGTTCAAACCCCAAACCACAACCAACACTCAGACAGGGTCTTTAAATAACTGAGAAGAAAGTACTGCCTTGGTAAAGACATTATCATCTGCAAAATGGTATGACTTTCTAGTCTGCTCGGATAAGAAAGATAAACCATGGGCCCCATCTCACAACCCTTGCACATATAAATTCTGTGGGATGTTAAAGAACCCACACACTGTTCATAAAGAGTAGGGGATGTAATCAACAGTGTAGTGGTTTATCTCTCATATATATGTAGGGGGAGGGACTGTTACGGGCCCAGAGTAATTGGCGCCACATGCTGTTGTGGTGACTCTACCAGAATTGGCAAAACCTTTAAGTAAAGTAGTAAGTAAAGGGTGGATGTGCTGAGGAGTGAGGATGATAATAATGATGACAATGTCTAACTGAGAGAGGCTAATTCAAGTGAATAAAAAAATATTGTTTTAACTGACCTCAAATTTGTTGTCCACTGACTTCCCTGTGATGTTGTAAAACTTATCACGAGTGTGTTCATCTCTCATTTTCCTACACAAGTGAGGAGGAAGTTCCAATCTGGAGGGCATAGTGCAGAAGTGATGAATGTTATGAGACTTGATGGGCTAGAGAAAAAAAAAGTTCTAACAATTACATTGCATTTCAAACAAATGCTCCCACGTAAAAGAACTGAATGCACACCAAGGAATTTGACATACAATGAGCACTATAACAAAAGTTCGCTTGATATCACAATGCACTGCAGCAGGCACTGCAGTGCAAATCTACCGTGTAGAGCCCTGGGGGTGTACTCCCTTATATGGGCTATATGGGGATGTGCCGCTACACAGGGTGTGGTTTTTTACCTCCCTGTCCTAAACAGTATATTATTTCATGCGAGTCTGCCTTAATTATAAACAGGGTATTGATTTGATTTGCTAGATGAAATTTGATTGTACTCCAGGTATACAAAAGCAATGACTATAACATGAATTTGCTCTATTGCAATCATACTTATTGCCCATAAAAAGCTCTAAAGCACGGCAATGTGCAGTTTGTCCATTGTCCTATAAAAATAGGGTAAGAAAATTGAGGGTGCTTTCCTAAAACAGGGTATGTATTTTAGGATTTTTTGTCCTAAACAGGGTCAGGGTTTCAAACCGTCAGCAGTTCACCTATACCCACATATTGGTTGAGTACCCCCCCCCCTCCCCCAGGTGTGGAGGAACATTTAGTACAACATGTACCTTGTCTTTCTTTCCTGCTTCCTTGAGTTCCCATGAATCTAAAAACGTCACATCCTTTTTGCTCTGTTTTAATTCAATCCATTGTTGTTTTAGCTCCTGAGGTAGAAATTCCGAGCTGTTGACTGGAGCAGTGGACTCTTTAGCACCTATCTCCACCTGTTGTCCCTTGATACTGATGATGTCTTCTGGAACCACTTCAGATGGCAGTAACAGACACTAAAGACAAGCAGTTGAAACCTTAGAAAAATTAATAAGCACCTTTTGGTTTCTTGTTGATGTGACCCATGATGTAAAAGCAATTTCTGTAGTTGTAATGTCACCAAGAGAAGAAAATACCTGCAAGTGCTTGCACATGTCACTTTCCAATTAACTCCCAAGAGGATAACAAGTGAACTTACATGTACTTTTCAAAACACCTAAAAATTCATGAACAATGTTTATTTTATGCAATCTCACCTCCCTCGCCTGCTCATCAGTCATTGCCTTTTGACTAACACGCCCTTGTCTTGTTAACAGTGTCAGAGACTGAGATGCTGATAAAAATAACACAATATCACATACAAATTATAACCCTAAGAACAATAGTGTTGAGCACAGGCAGTTCTGGTACAAAATCTATTTTATTTGATTAAAGGATTGTTTAAAACAGGCAGTACTGGTACAAAATCTATTTTATTTGATTAAAAGATTGTTTAAAAAAAACATTCACCAGGTATCATTTTATATCATGCAAGTTCCATTTCACATTGTCACATTTTTGCCATTTACATATGTGCTCCCGTCAATCTCATCCACTTTCCCCCAGAAGGGCTCCCCTCATTGGTCCCCTTATATTACTCAAACCCTTGCTTCCCTGTCACCAAAAATGTTGCCCATTTCTTTCTTGTTCTGTCTTCTATATAGTATTAGGGAGCTTAAGCAACAACGACGGTGACGGCTACAAAAATGTCACTTAACTAGTGAATTTGCGCTACTTCAAACTTTATCGCGCTTATTCCAACTCTTCCATTGTGTCAAATGTTGGCAAATTTCTCTGGAGTTGAATCTAAAAGACTGTATCAAAGTTCAGGAAAAGAAAAAGAAAGTTGTTGTCTTGCATTCACTTCCTCGACAAAACATGAAATAATTAGGTAGTTTCACGTTGAAGTTGTGCAGCAACAGCAAAGAAATGTACTAAAAAGCATGATGCATGTACAAAGTTGTTGTTTTGCCAATCTAAACCTATTGCTTTTTTCCCATTCTTATTGCAGTCGCCATCGTCATTACTTAAGCTCCCTATTAGCTGCCTAGAAGTGTAATAAGGAAACATCCTTCAATCAAAGGAGATGACCAGAATGGATACACTGTTAGTACATGATGAAACACTGACAGCAGCTCCCAACGCTGGACAAAAAAAAATTGATTTGCACATTGACAACCTGACAAATATGCCACAAAAATGTAAAAACTGAGTAGTAATTCTGGGGCGAGGATGGTAAAATTTAATGCTACATGTACATTTGCATACCAAAAATCACGGGGTTGTAAATAAGGAGACGAAAGTGGCATTTACCGTCTTTAACCCTAGATTACTCCTCAGTTTTTGACAATTTTGCAACATAGTGTACAGTTCAGGGCTTCTGATAGGCCAAGGAAAAAAATGAAATTTCGCCGGATTTTCAGTGAAAAATTGGTGGAAAACTCAGCCCATTTTGCAGGATTTTCGTGGGACTTTTTGGGGTAAACTGTGCCGTGAGATAATCGGTAAAAACCACCAATTTTGTGGGAATTTTCTGGGCAAATTCTGCAAGAAATCAATCGGTTCTGCATTGATCTGACTAGCAGTTTTAACAATTTTTAACGGAGATAATCATTTGTTCTTTCAATGCTTGAGAAATGAACCAAAGGCAAAGCTTTTAACAACATGGCTAGTGCCACTCAGTTTTTTCGCAACGTAATCCACACCAAGTAGTTTTGGGACGTTGTTTGCTCATTTCAGTGATGAAGCTTCAAGATAAATGTTATTTGCAAGTTTACTGCAAGTAATCAGCCCCAATAGCCGAGATAAGTTTCAACTATGTTGTACAGAGATATAATTGGCTAAATTTCTGTCCAATTTTGCCATAATTATTTCATATGTTTTTGTGAATTTCGCAGGATTTCGTGCATTACCTAAATTTGCGGCTCCATGACCGTGCAAAATATCAGTTGTACAGTTGTATTTGCCAAAAGCAAATTAGTGCAAATCCATTTTTTTGTCTGGTGTATACTACTTTTCAACAAATTTGGAACTCTTTTACATGTAATTACACTGTATGTTGTAAAAATACAGCTACCTGTAAGCTCTCAAGATCTTTTGTGTTTAGGAACTTCCCACAAAAATCCATAAAAGCTGCACATTTACCATTATTTTTACATCTAAAATTGTGCAACTTTAAGCAATCACACCAATACCGATCATAAGGGAGGTACATGCATCAATCATTCTCTTCGCAGATGATTTGAAAAATCAACAAAGACATCTGCAACATACCTAGTAAGTCTCTGTCAGACGTCACTTCACTTCTTTTGGCTTCTGTTTCTTTGCCAGCTGTTTTAGACAGGTCATCAGCTCTTTGCATCTGCGAAGCCACATCACCAGTGACAACACTCTCACTGTTCATAGTAGCTCCTCTGTCTTTCCTAGGGCTCGTGTTTAAACTTTCATTCTCAATGGAGGTCTTCCCTCCTGCTTCACTCTGTAGATTAGTGCTGCTAGGAACAACAGGGGTCTTTGGCACCTTTGAAGGACTCGTCGACAAGGCCTTTGGGTCCCGAGGGGACGTCCCTCTTAGTGCACCATACACAGAGAAATCTGTGCTACCATGTTCAGCCATCGCACGAAGCAACAAGCTTTCTTTGGACGGAGAAGCAGCAATTGCTGCCTCACTTTGCCTTTTAGCTTCATTCTCAGCTTCCTCAGTTGCTCGTATCAGGTTGAGCAAACCTGTCTCAGGCAAACTCAGTTTCCTTGTTAGTTCAAGAATCTCCGAGTGGATCCTGTTTATTGGAGACTCATCCTCCTGGCACCTATCATCTACATGCAGCTTTTCAGAATCCAGAGCTAAAGAAGATTCACTTGCTTCTCTAACTTCCTTTCCTGCATCTGCATCCTTAGGTTCTTGTGTAGTTGATTCTTGCATATTTATTTTGACAATTTCATCACTTTCCTGATCAACTGCACTTAACTTGTTTCCCAGATTCTCACTGTCTTGCTTATTCATCTCATTCTCACATCCCTGATCTATATCTGTCCTCTCCGTTACATTACCCTTGTCATCTTGTTCAGCAGTGTTTAGCACCACAACATCCTGTTGAGGTTCCCCCTCGTCATGTAAAGTGGGTGTGACTGGCAGGAGGATTTCAGTATCCCTGTTTTAGATTTTACAAAAAACCAGAAATACACATTAGACATTTCCTGGTGATATACACTTTTCTTAAGAAAGCCTGGGCAATAAAAATCCCCCCATAAGATATCATGATACAACAATACAGAGAACGAACATCTATTTTTGTGAAGATGTGGTTACTAATACACATATTTAAATATACTGTTATTGTACATGTAGCAGGTGCCTGCATTAACCACATAGTCATGCCCTAGACAATAAATTATAAAACAAAAGGTAACATACTTTAAAGATGAAGCACGGCTTTTAGCTAATACTGCATGTGAGACTCTTGAACTTGCTCTTGGTGGTTTGTTTGCTGGACGAGAAGCAAGCTGAACAGCTACGGCTGTACTCTGAGAGCCAATTATTGCTGGTTTTTTCGCCTGAACTTCCTCTCCCTTGGGTGTTCTTCGTGGTGTCTTAGGACTCCCTGACCTGGCTGAATGTGGCTTCACTACTGATGTCTAAGAACAAAATTCACTTGGCTTAAGGTCAGTACACACTAGGCTACAAACTGCAGCCACATGTCGTGGTGACATGTTGCAGCAACAAATCTCCTTGTGTGTACTGGACAATTTTTGTGAAAACCTTCCTCTCTGCAACAGAATTTTGTCACCACAACAAGGTGCACAAATTCAGTCCGATTTAATTTTTGGCGAATTCTTGCAGCAACAAGAAATTCTGTAGTACACAAAGTGATTTGTCACTGCGATGTGTTGCTCCATCTTGTTGCTGCAACTAGTCGCCCGACCTGTACACAAGGAATAATTTGTCACTGCAACATGTTGCTGCAACTTGTCACCCAGAGTGTTCTGACCTTTATAGCCAGGCAAACAATTATTATAATATTATGTGATTACAGAAAATATTGATCCACTCCATGGGGGATCTTTGGAAATTCCCTAGGGGAGGTTTGTCTTTTTGGGGGGAAAGTTGTTATTCATCATAACAATGATTTCAATGTAACAAAATCCCATATGATGAGCCAATATTCCAAAGTACATGTACCTTGACACTTACTCAGGAAAAAATAACGGATTCCCACTTCTGGATATTTTAGGGTATTTAAAGAATACCCACAAAAATCCCAAATGTGGAAGAGTGAGACACGTCCTAATCAGGGAACTTGGTTGGGAATTCCCTGGTTGGGAGTTGTCTCACTTTGCCAAATTTGGGATTTTTATGGGTATTCTTTAAATACCCTAAAATATCTAAAAATGGGAATCCGTTATTTTTTCCTGTCTAGTACATTGTCTGCATTAAATTCAGCTCCTGAAAAGGTTGGCACCTCAACTGTGCTAAATGATGGTTTACCTTTTCCTTAAATTTTGCATTTAAATTAATTTCATCACCAAGTCCTTTTCCATACATCACGACATTTAAATCCACTTTTGAGCGAATAGAAGCAATCCCAGTAGATCTGGAAATCAAATCAGACGTCCTCCGCTCCACAGAAGCAACAGATTCAAGAACGTGACCTTGCTCAATGGCTTTTGCGTGCCCAGAGTCTGGCGTTGCTCTGAATTCCGGGGCCAAATCAATAGAAGGACTCGGCGGAGGAATTTCACCATCTGATTCCCGTGTTTCTGTATCTCTTCGTTTGCTCTTCGTAGATTTCTTGGGTTGCCTGTGAGATCCTCCGTGTTTTGTCGGCTGGCTTCTTTGCGCCAGTACGGTTTTCGAGCTGCTTTCCAGTAACTTTGACTTATCAGTCGTATTCAAGCCAGCGAATTCATGCTTTGACTGTCTAGACAGCTGTTCAAGTTCTTGTTTTAGGCGCAACTCTTCCCGTTTAAATGATTTCCCGCCAAATGACATGTCCTTGTCGTCGTCAACAACTATTCGCGGAAATGTTACAACAACTTTTCTTTCTCAACTCTCCATCTTCCTCATCCATAATTATGCCAATAATAAATATTTTGAACATTTACTCAACACATACTCCCTTTTTTATGAGTAACTCAACTTTTTGTACCGCAAAACCGGAAATATTCGCTACGCAACCAACTACATAGACGCCATCTTTGTTTAGCTCCTGTTACCTTGGACCCAGGATGGCACTCTCGGACGCATGGAGACGAGGCTGGACAATAAACCCCAACAGGAGAGTAGAGGGTAAAATTTGCCAACATTCCGGAATTTCTCAGAAATCTCAGTAAATCGAAACCTTCTAATCTTCCCTAGTTTCCGCGAAAAAGCTGAAAGGATGTCAACAAGTCACATTTTTATTGTCCTTTCCTAAGTGTAATCCTACTGATAATAATAGAACTTATGTGACATCAACGGCTAAGAATTTGCAAAAGCAAAACCGATGTATTCAGTCGCCTTATTAACCGCAGAATTAGAAGCTGTAACATCTCAAAGGAATTATCCAAAAATGTTGCTGGTAAGTCAAGTTTTTTTCAGCTGATGAAACGAGATAAACCTTACAGATATATAGGTTTTTGGTAATAGATTTGTAGTTGAATTTAGCTTAATTGGATTATTCGCGCGCATTCATCAAAATTTTAGTTTTTCATTTATTGTAGTTTGTTGAAAACATTCTACATTTAAACAAGACCTTAGCTAAAAGCTAAAACGGCATCGCGTCGTTTTTTTTCCAAGCTTACTCTTCTTCGTGTCTTTCTCACCTCGAGTCGTTAGACCATATATACAATATATATCTCAAAGAAATATAAACATTGTTTACAATTTGAAAATTCCTTAAAGAGGAACCCAGGCACAACCTTAAAACGTCATATATTCCATTTACTTGCTACACGTCTAGTTGTGAAACCATTAAAACGGTCTAAAACGCTTTTTTTTAATTCTCGATCAACTGCTCAGTTTCAGGTTTTGTTTTCTAAACAAATGTCCTGTGATTTGCTTTCTGTATATATCTCACAACTAGCCCCCAAGCGGAATGTGGGTGCACTTACGGCTTCCCGCATTAGTTTAATTTTGCCATGCGCGCACACACAAAAAAGTAAAAGTCTGTATGTGTTCCTGTCAGTCATAATCAAATGACTCTCAAATGTGTCTTTTTTGACGCTCCTACTATGTCTTTTATAACCCACGTACTTCGTGTTTGTTAAAACTAAAAAGGATGAGTTGATTTTCGAAAAAGACCGCTTTTTGTGCACTGTAAGCAGTTAGTATTTTTACCAAAATTGATGCTTCGTTTCAGTAGCGTTTCAGATGAGTGACGTCACCCGCTCGATCTGTTTGCAAGCTATTCTCACGCTTCACTGACCAAACGTTCGATCAATATATCTTATAACTCTCTACACAGTAATGTCAATACGAGCATGTTTCTCAGCAGTTTAAAATCGTCATTTGAACTTGGGAGATAAAATAAAAAACAAAATCCAAAATTTGAAATAGAACACTCAAGAACAACACACTTGAGAGTTCTTGTACTGGATTTTTTATTTGTTGATAATTGTTCTGGTATAATAGGCACTCACTACGCCCCTTAATCTCGTGTACATCCGTATCGAAAGTTCTTACTAAACAACTTTCAACCAATCTAGCGCAATACTGGCAGTATACATTCATGACGTTGTACCTAGGCTAGAGCAATATCACTTGAAGATCAATTCAACACAAAGTGCAGCATCCAATAACAGATTCTTGGCGATTTTAGAAATGACTTCTAAAATAACTTTTACCAAATTTATTTTACCGCACATCTGAAAAGCACCAAAAACCACGAAAACATTTCTTAGCCGTTTTGAGACTGGGTTGGAGTTGGGTTCCGCGAATTGTATTATGGGACTGTTTTGGAGCTGATGCTATTGACTTTGATTGGCTATTCCGACTGGGTCAAAATTCGTCCCTAGAGACAGTCTTTGGCGATCATCCTCACTCTTTCGATCACTAAAAACCACCATAATATACTTTATAATGAACAGAAGCTTGGGAAACTGCTGCTGCGCAAGGGTTTAATTACGATACTTAGTCGCCCTTCAAGATTTCTTTCACAGACTCAAAAGCTAGAACAGCCATCAAAGGTCAGCAAATTTCTATTATTTCAGTCCTTAGCCTGAGACTGATAACATAGAATTACCCTGTAAAACTGCACCAAAGAAATTTTCCGTTCAAAAGGTGCCACTGATTTACACCGACAAGTCAAAAATAACGCTTAGTAAGGACTAACTGCACGAGTAGAATCAACTGACAAACAGTAGGAAGACTGACTCCTTGATCAGATCCTCCATTTGACTGGTCACAAATAATTTCATGACCCATTGAATCAAAGTTGGAACGGTTCTTCAGTCTTTATTGAATCACTGTTAAATGCACATCGCTGGTCTGTTAAAGCGCACGAGAGACCTATCTTGCTTAGTGAATAGCACCTCAGAAAAGTACCGTTTGATAACGGCAAGTTTGACCTGAATGATCAATCACTCTATTAAATTGAGCTCAAATAGATTTCAATGAGGACCACATCATGGCAGATGAAAGGTATTCTTTTAGAGGTGAAAGGATCAGCATCAAGAATATGCATCCGGCATATTCCGTGTGAAGAGACAAGATTCAAATGAAATGTCTTTGCGGAGAGCTTTTAGGATTAAAAATTTTTCTTAATTTTAACGTCTTCCAACCTCCGGGAATGAACGATAAATCTAACTTTCAACGAAGACACAAGAAAATCCCTCTCTTTGGTGATGCTGTGCATTATTTGATCTTATTAACCACCGCACAACTTTTCAAGATAACTAAAGATTCCGAATATAGATACAAAGCGCGTATTTCACTAGATTTTTCGGCAGGCGAACCTGCGAACGAGAGACAAATTTGCCAGTCGACGCCATGTTTTAGCCGTTCAGCTTGTCCCTTCAGGACTGACTGATAATCCCTTAAATTGATGTGATGCCAGCATTCCTGAAAAATAAAGCCAAGTTTATATTATCTGTCCGAAGAAGGAGACGAAAATGGTTTCAGTATTCAATATAAGTTGACTTTCAAAAGCAAAAAGTAAATTTAGCTCTAAACTAATACAGGTCAAACTCGAACGACACAAACAAGTGACTAAAAAGCAGAAAAGTAAATTTAGCTCTATACTAATATAACTGGCTAGGACAACACTCGAAAAGCCTTAAAGCGTGATGATCATTCAGGCTCCTATAACGAGAACACGCAGGAGTTAAAAGCGGGATGTCAGTTTAACTCGCAAAGATCAGTTTTGATTACGAGCAAACGATTTTCGGATTACCTAAACGATCTCCAACGGATTCTACCGAACTGAAAAAAGCAAACGAAAGAGACCCAACGAGAGCTTAAAGCAACTGCAGACACAAAAGACTATCAGGGCTAGCGAATACGGCTGCAAGGTAAGGTAATTGCTATTGTTGTATTTTATAACTTAAAATTGTCGGTTTTGGCTGGGTAGAGAACTAAACGTATTCCGGAAAGAAACACTGTTTGAACACTTGTTCGAAAGTTAATATTCCAAGCCACCACAATGAATCAACCAGTTTACTTATCCTAACGATTTAATTAAAAAAACTTATTGGATGGTGCTCTTTAACTCCCCCACCCATCAAAGGGTTGTAGTTAGTTTATTGAAAAATAACATGCAGGTAAATGAAACAGACATAATACACTTTCTTAAGAGAAAGTCTCGGCTTCGAAGCTTTTACGCAGTCTGTTTGCACGCGTCAGAATTGTAGTTTGCAAACCGCTGATTGGCGCACAACTGGTGATGTACCATTATCACGTGGTATGCATCAGTATCATAACACACTCACGAGAAGCGCGAGTTCCAGTGGGCGAGTTAGAGAAAGAGAGCGGTGAGTTTCTGGGCGATTTTGATTACGAAGGTAAGGTAAGGAAAGGTAAGGTAAGGCTGGAGGTCTTTCCAAAAGGAAAGCCCCAGTGTTTAAACCATTAATTTTACAGTTAATAGATTGCAGCGTTGTTCGCGATTTGCAGATTATAGCTGGCGTTCGAAAAGGCTGTTCATTCGGCGCGCAGCGTTACGAACTACAAATTTGTAAGCGTGTCTTTGCATGTCTAGCAAAATATCTCAACCTATGTTGCTTTTTTAAGAGTGAAGTACAGTTGACAAGCTAAATTTTATTTGGAAAACTTTGGTTATAATTGGGTTGCGTGAACACTTTTCTCAAACCAGCACGCTATAATGATCGAGCAGATGGAAGCGCGAGATCTTCCCAAAATGTTTCCTGAGTTTCGTTTTCCAGCGTTCGTTTTGGAGCTTTCGATTCGTTTACCGCATTGCCACTGATATATTGGTCTTTGCGCAGTTTTTAAATAACATCATCTCCAGCAAAGTCTATCGAGTATCCCCTAAAATAACTTCATACTGACGTGAATTATGGCGTAAACGATCCCCCAACGCATTTGGGTCAACTAAAACTGTACCCAAATATTGTTTACTAGTTTATCCTCAAATATCTTGGCATCGTTAATAGTATGACTGACTTAAAATAAAGTGAGCTATAATAAAAGTTTCATCACTAGCAATGACTTTATTTACACAACGATATCTAATGCCGGATATAAATAAGTCAAAATAGGTACAGCAAAGGAAGGGTGCAAGCTTGCCATTGCCATCAGGGTATGATCACTGTGTGCCAACAGTCTTGTGCGAATCTTGAATTATGCTTCGCTTCAGCAATGTATGTTTACACTTTTTTAATGTATGTCATACGTGTGGACTAAGTAACGAGTGAAACTCCTTTTTGCAAGATTTCCTCGATGTACTGAAAAGGTCCAATACATTATAAGAACTTCTTATCTGAGATTTCCCTCCATATTGCAAAGTGGCTATGGAGGGTAATTTCTCCCATCTACAGCAGTCTCTGCTTTGAAGGAAGAAAGAATCTCGAACACGCACTACTACTGGATAGACCTTTCATTGAATGATCGCCGATTGTCCACAACTCTGCAATCAAGTAACGCATTACAGCCACAACAAACATTTCCCCCCGCGGAAGTATTACACAGTTAGATGGAAGCGCTGTAGTAATCTAGAGATTAAGAAGGTGTTACAGAATCCTTTTGCGTCAAGAAGAACTGTGATGG